GGGAGGGCTCGGGCATGCACTGGAGCCCTTGAAAACACTCCATTCTAACAGCAAGGCAGCGGGGGGGGTGGGCAGGAGTGGGGTGGGAAGGGCGAGGGGAGCAAGGCAGCGGGAGGGGGGGTGGGAAGGGCGGGGGGAGCGGGGGGGGCGGGGGGGGCGGGGGCAGCGAAGGGAGGGCTCGGGCATGCACTGGAGCCCTTAAAAACACTCCATTCTAACAGCAATGCAGCGGGAGGGGTGGGCAGGAGTGGGGCATGCACTAAACCCCTTAAAACACGCCAATCTGACAGCAAGGCAGCGGAGGGGGTCGGCGGGGGCGGGGGGGCGGGGGGAGCGGGGGGGGCGGGGGGGGCGGGGGCAGCGAAGGGAGGGCTCGGGCATGCACTGGAGCCCTTAAAACGCAAGGCAGCGGGAGGGGTGGGCAGGAGTGGGGCATGCACTGGAGCCCTTTACACACGCCAGTTTGACAGCAAGGCAGTGGAGGGGGTCGGCGGGGGTGGGAAGGGCGGGGGGAGCGGGGGCAGCGGGGGGGGCGGGGGGGGCGGGGGCAGCGAAGGGAGGGTTCGGGCATGCACTGGAGCCCTTGAAAACACTCCATTCTAACAGCAGGGGTGGGAAGGGCGAGGGGAGCGGGGGGAGCGGGGGGGGCGGGGGGGGCGGGGCAGCGAAGGGAGGGCTCGGGCATGCACTGGAGCCCTTAAAAACACTCCATTCTAACAGCAAGGCAGCGGGAGGGGTGGGCAGGAGTGGGGCATGCACTAAACCCCTTAAAACACGCCAGTCTGACAGCAAGGCAGCGGAGGGGGTCGGCGGGGGGGGGGGGGCGGGGGGGGCGGGGGGGGCGGGGGGGGGGGGGGGGGGGGGCAGCGAAGGGAGGGCTCGGGCATGCACTGGAGCCCTTAAAACACTCCATTCTAACAGCAAGGCAGCGGGAGGGGTGGGCAGGAGTGGGGCATGCACTGGAGCCCTTAAAACACGCCAGTTTGACAGCAAGGCAGTGGAGGGGGTCGGCGGGGGTGGGAAGGGCGGGGGGAGCGGGGGCAGCGGGGGGGGCGGGGGGGGCGGGGGCAGCAAAGGGAGGGTTCGGGCATGCACTGGAGCCCTTGAAAACACTCCATTCTAACAGCAAGGCAGCGGGAGGGGTGGGCAGGAGTGGGGTGGGAAGGGCGAGGGGAGCGGGGGGGGGCGGGGGGGGCGGGGGGGCGGGGGGGGCGGGGGGGGGCAAGACTATGGGTCTTCACTAGCGCCTCCCCCGCTCAAAGCTCGGGTCGGCGGATATATATACATATATATATATATAGACTTGTGTATGTATACATACCCTGTCAGGGAAGAGTTTGCCAGAACGAGGATGGCGACGTTGTCCAACGCCAACTTGAGCCAGTCTGCGATCCAGCGCTTTGCTGCGGCCGTCGAGAAGATGGAGGCGATGTGTGGGCACGAAGCCGTGGAGGAGAATGCGGATGTGGCTCACACGCGCCTGTGATTGAGGAGTTGATGAGGAAGCAGCTCTTTAGGGTTTAGGGTTAGTTTTAATGAGCCCTAAAACCACTATAGGGAGCCCGCCAGAAATCAAGTTCAAAGTTTCGCGAGCCCGTTGGCCCCTCCAAAATCCAAAATACACCGAAGGCAAGGCCGGAGCAAAGAGAGCTCCGGGCTGGCAGAGATCTCGGCGTATGCCGCAGGCTTGTGCAAGTCTGAAGCTTTGGATCCGAACTTCTTCATGGACCATTTCGGAAGCGCCGAGGATTGTTCAGAAATGATCTCGAGCTCACGCTTGGTACAGCTGAACAAGTTCGCTCGAAAGCTGGAGTACATCGCCAAGGCGGCTTTAGTCCTGCACGATGCGGAGAACCAGCTGGGTCACCACTTCAAGCAACACTTCCAGTCACAGAGCTCCTTCACCCAGATGTCCACATCGTCCTCACAGCCGATGGCAGATGCTGTGCTTCGTCATGCGAAGAGTCGACCTCGCATGGCGCGCCTGCGGTACTTGGACCAGGTCTATTACGAGGACGTCTACGGATTTTCGACCAACGCCTATTGCCAATCCAACTTCCGCAACAAGCGCGAGGATCCAGAACATTGGGTCAGTCAAAGTGAAGAGATCCAGGCATATGTTCAGTGCCTTTGCGTGGACCACAATCCATCTTTGTTGTGCGACACCCTGCGACTGAGACTCATGTTCAGTATAGACTCTAGTGGCTCGAGTTCTGTGTCGGCTGGTGTCCAGGTATCTATAGTGTACTCTACAATACTCCATACTGCTACATAACAATCTATAATACTCGATAATACTGTATAGTACACTCTAGAGGTCTCCCATCTTGACACAATCGAGGCACGCCGAGCCGCTGGAGCGCATTAGACCCCACGTGCACCGCCGCATGCGGGGCGACGGTTTCGGGGGCGGCGACGGGTGGAGCGACGCATGGAGCAACACGACCCAAGGCCAAGGAGGTTTCGCCTCACAGGGCAGTTCACAGGGTTCGAGCTTGGTGGAGCTTGCGGCTGAGCAATCTGGGCAGAGCGCGGCGGCGGCGACGCTCGGGCCCTGTGGGGCGGACATGGCGAAGGGAATTCCCGGGCCTGTCCCCAATTGCAGGGTTACGGTGAACGGAAAGGTGATTGAGAAGCAAGTGTTCGCGGCAGCTCTCAGCAACTTCCAGGTTATCCAGGATTGGGTGGACGATCCCGAAGTCTGTTTAGGTGGCTTTTGCGCGCCCTGCATGGGCATCAAGCCCAACGACCCCATCAAGTCCCCGGATGCAAGAGTGACTGCCACTTCATGGAAGCTGTGGCAATCTGTAACAGTGTAGAACCTGTAGCAGTCATGAAGCATCGTGGAAGGTGCAGCAAGAGCACCTTTAGACCACAGGTTACATCGCTTGTGTCTGGCAGTCGTTCAATCGAGCACGAAGTCAATGGGGGTTGTCATCGCAGTCCACAGTCTTGAGATGAATAGCAGGAGCAACAACTAGCCGGAGCTAGGATGTGTGTCGCTTGTGCCTCGTGCCTTTCTTTGGTTGTGTGAGTTTCAGTGAGGTTCATGCTGGACTTGGGATTCGATGGCGTCTGCAGTAGTGGGGTCACGTCTTCCATGGCCAAGTTCCACATGTATGCAAAATTGCAAATATGCATTGGTGGTGCGCTGGGAGAGATAGCAAAAGCAATTGGTTATGGGCGCGTCTGCAGGGAGCTTGGGCGGATACAGTACTTCCTCTTCATCAACAAGATGCGTATTCATTCGAATCTTCCCATCCCATTGCCACCGCCTCTTGGAGTGAGGGCTGAACTGGAGTCGAACCTAAACCTCGGTGATATCTCGCGAGCGACACGAGAGTATTGTGGCCTATTGGGCTCGCGGGAGTACCAGTGCTTGAAGGACAGAATGCCACACGGGGTAATTCCGATTTAGGGGTTATGGTACCTGATTCGAGTCCTTGTTGTAAGATGGCAATGGGGATCCTAGTATTTGGAGGTCAAATTTGGGCCTCCCCCTATACATTTGGTGGATTTTGTTGAAGCATGGTTCACCCTTTGACACGGTATCACATCCTTCTTATGGTTGTAGAACGTTGTAGACGTTCCATGTGTTGTGCCCGATTGAGTATCCGGTCTCCCATGGTTTCGAAGAAAGATTACAGCGAGCTGCGAAACGGTAATGTCCACAGGATTGCCCGATCAGTTTGTTTGCCAATGTTCACACGGAGCATATGTGCACAGAGTTCTGCAGAACACGAGCTCCATTTATGCACCCAGGTAGATTCTGTTCACTTTAAAGGGGAAATCGACAGCGTTGGCGCCGTAGGTCATACTGCATTGCTTTCCAAACCAGTTCGGAGTGCGACGACCCTACACGCTAGTGTGAAGCGAGTCTAGGCCTCTAGTTGTGTCCTTGCGCGCATCGTTATTCAAAGGACTACGACGCATGGCCTGAGGGGGTTCGCATGTCATGATCAGCTACCAAGCAAAGTTCAAGCCGCACCCCTCCCCCCCCCCCCCCCCGGCCCCTCCAAGAAGCAATGGGCAACTCCCTCTCGACTTCTGGGATTTGGGCGGGATGTTGGGCGTGGCTTCCGGGCATGCACGAACTGAACAGCCCCCCCCCAGAAACCTCGGAGTGCCGACTTCCCTAAACCCAAAAAACCCTGAACCCATCTAACTTGCAGGGCTTCTATGATGCACGGGGGCCCACCGAAACGACTATCACGGCAGACCTTCTGATTGGCATCAAGATCGACTTCATCTTCTACACCTTGGAGATCGGGAAATGGGTTCAGGTGTATAAGTACCACACCGTAGAGCACCACAACTCGCGAGAGCTGGCTATGAACACCGCGGGAATCACTTTCGTGCATATTGGCCCTTCCTCAGAACCCGACAAGTGTGGCCACACTTGGTCCGGAGTGAATTGCCACAGTGCATCCGGTGACAAGGGCCACCGTGCCAATGAGGATCACGCCGGTGCTTCCGACGACTTCAGGGTCTATCGGCCCTACCACAGGCGCCGCGGGAACACACGGGCACTCTGTGTGCGGCGCACGGACAAGGCAGAGGGTTGGGGCATGAACCTCGAGCTCCCATGCAAGACGGACAACAGCGCATTGAACATTATCGTGCCAATCGGCCCCAGCCCTCATAGCAATCACAAGTGTTGGCTGCCAGATGAGCCGGTGAGGTGCGATTCCGACTCTGGCACCCGAAGGAATCGCCTGGGTGTCTTGCCCGCTCAGCAAGTGGTCCCCTAAGCCATAACGCCCTAAACCCCAAACTTCCTAAACCCTACACCCTATTGAAGTCTTCCCATTTCTTTCCCCGCCGGACATTTAGGGTATTTTGGTTTTATGTTTTGGCGGGGGTTCTAGGCTTCGACGACCATGCGGACGAATTCCAAGTGTACTCTACCTCTGGCGGCCGCTGGTGCGCGAGGTTCCTGCACACAAATGTTTGAGGTTCATGGCTTCTTAGACCCCAAGGATCACTGTAGATTCTGAGTCACTCGTAACCATATTGGGAGACTTAGGAGGCATCAATTGGTCTGCCTGTGCAGTTATAGCTGGGTCATAAGTGCCTATGAATCAAGTCGATTTGCGATTAGGTGAGCTCGTTGCAGGTTGAAGATTTCTATGGCCCAAGAAGGAAGCAAATTTGAAATACCCTACTGTGAACCCTTTGTTCCCCTACTAAGTAGCCCTCTGATAAGGCCTCTGATATATATATATATATATATATTAAAGGATTTTCCCCCTAGCGGGAGGGGATCTGTTATATAATGCCTGCTCGTCGCGAACACAGTATCGACGAGATCTTGGTTTCTCCGTGACATAAGGCAGCACGCAAGCGCTGCCGCATTAACGTAAGATTCATGAACAAACCTTTTGACAACAACTCTTGCTCCTCTGACTGAGCCCACTTTTGCAGGCAGACAACTGCCCAAAGCAACATCCCGACAGGGCGTAACGCTCTACGCACTAGCCCCAATGTTTGGAGGGTTTTCAGCCCACTATGCCCAGTAGCACCCTCATTCCCGTTGTAGGAGGTTCCTTATCCTTTGTAGACCGCCTTTAAACCAAAAAGGGTGCCCTTTGTTCTAGGTTGCTGGGGAACCCCTAAACCCCCAAACCCTAATCCCAGCTGAGGCGGACAGATGCAAACTCGGGCTGGGCCTTGGACTTGGCCTTGGATTGCAAGCCGACCGACGAAGTGGGGGGTTTCCGAAATGAGGGGGTCGATAAACAGGTTTAGGGTTTCGGGTTTACTTTGCAGGGGTCCTTATAATGATGGGATCCTACTATTTGGGGATCGATATCGCAAAGTTGGGGGTACCGCCTAAATCCTAAAGTATCGTGAACCCACAGGTGGTGGATTGGAAGACCAAGACGATACACTTCGGACCGAGCGAGACCAAAAAAAGGTGCGAAAAGAAGGGTTAGGGTTTAGGGTTGTGTTTAAGGTGTAGGGACCCGAATTTTAGATCCCAGTATAAAGGTGCTCGTTTACTCGTAATAAGGACCCCCCCCCCCCCTCAGAAAAAAAAAAAAAAAAAAACAGCTACCACACCCTAACACCCTAACACTCTCCACCCTAAACTCGCACATCGCAAAGCTCCAGGTGCCTTATGGTGGAAGAGGCCTTGGAGTGCGACCCGGACGCCGGTGATCCCCACAAGCGAGCCAACAGGGACCAAAATGGAGATACATTTTTCATCTCAGTGTCGGAGGACGGCTTCGTTTGCGCGGACCGCACGGATGCCAACCTCGGTTGGGGTATGGATCTGAAGATCCATTGCAAAGCACGAGACAAGGCCCGGAAGAGAGTTGATGTCCACTTTGGTTCTTCGGATTATCGCATGAAGTGTATCCCCTTCCATGGACTGCTTGATTGCCCTGGTTATGCCGGGAATCCCGAGTACCGGCTCAAGGAGACGCAGCATGGGGACACCTTCATGACCTATTGGGCCCGCGGCGAGGATGACCTTCCAGTGAATGAGGTCTGTGTTGTCCGCACTGACGATCGTGAAGACTGGCGTTCGGGCTGGGGGCTCGACCTCGTGTTCTCCTGCTATGGAAAGTAGGTCCCGAAGTATGTGCTGAGGCGGAGAAATTGAGGCTACCGTAAGCGTGCCTTTTTCAGAGATCCTGTCACAGCCATTCTCTTGCAGTCAGAAAAGGAGTCCCCAGATGATACTGCGCATCAGTCATGCCCTACATTTGACCTTCTCAGACCTTCTCTCACAGCATGCATGCTGCTACAGTGTGGCTCAAACCAGGAGCTGTGGCAGAGCTTGAAGATATGAAGTGGTTTGCAGAAAAAAAGCATGCACCAGGGCGACAGCATCCACCGATGTAACCGCTATGACTTCACGGACTTGGGAGCTCCGGAGCCACAGCAAAAGCAGCTTGCATTCATAATCAAGCTGATTCATGCTTGCTCATTCACGCACATGCTGCTTCAAGCTGTGACGTGTCTTTGCTTTGGATAAAGCCTGCCCCCGAATATCGTGGACCCCATGTGCAGGACCGGGCTATTGCGCAGCTTTTCACCCTAGACCCTAAACCCTAAACCCTAAACCCATCTTAGTTGTGTTCTTCAGAGGAGTCATGCCCCGCCAGCTTGGAGTCCGGATCTCGCGTCCTGCTCCAACACAAGGTGCCTTTTCTGAGCGGTGCCCGACCCCCCTCAAGTCCCGACTACCGATTTCAGGTCGCCGAGATTCAGGCAGAAAATCAGGCCGAAGAGCTGACTTTGCAAATCGTTTCAATTTTTTTCTGCTTAAGAGGGCGCTGGATGTCGGAATCTTGCTCAGAGAGTGTTCAGAGCAACGCTGGATTGTCGAAGAACTCGACGTCTTCTTCGCGCATCCCAGCATTTCTGGCCCCCTGGGCTTTCCCACACACCTTTTTCTTGGCAGGATTCGACACCTGTGTGAAACGGTGTGCATGAGTCATGAGGCCGAGTGGGCTCGACAGGCATGGCTTTCCGTACAGCTTTTCTATCCTCGACCTGAGTCAGCTTGGAGCAAAATCAGATGAGCAGCGCGTTTGTTTCTACAAGCGGCCACATAGAGACGCGAACATTGAACGTCGGCCGCGTAGCATTTTGCCTGCAGGGCATAGGTCTGCGTAGGGTCCGCATAGGCAAGTCTATGTAGTATGGGCGCGTAGGTCCGCGTAGGTTGTTGGTGTATAGGATGATATGTGTACATATGTATGCATATATATATATATATATATATATATATATATATATATTATATATACATATATAAAAACATGAATTCCGCGTAGGCGTGGCGTAGGCTCAGCGTAACCCGCGCGTTGTCGCAGGTGTTGTTTTCAACGCCGCAGCCCATCCGTCAACGTCACGATTCGGGCAGGGTTTTTCGGCAAAAAATCGGGCATGGTTGGGCAGAAAATCGAGCAGGGTTGAGCAGAAAAATTGGTTGTAATCTGAATGTGCCCAGTGGCTACAATATAATAAGTCAAACACAATGCGTGTGCGCTTGATTCTAGGGGTTGCCGCGTAGGCACGCGTCAACAAAATACTCCGCACGTAGGCCGCGCGGCTACTACACATGAGTTCACACGTAGGCCCGCGTAGGATGTCAATGCCATGAGAAGACCCCACACAATGAAAAGAAAAGCTCAGATGCCCTTCGGCTTTTGAAGGTGGTGTTGTTCAACCACTTGAAGTCTTCGAGCGTTCTATGAACAAGTTTGCCTACGTGCAGGATTGACTTTCGCGTCTTTTTTCTTCAAAGCGGATGCCAGATGGCATTCACGCAAGGTAGCCCCACGACAACGTTGGCAGAGATCTCGTGACGCCACTCCGGGGATTTGGTGTGGTAATTACTGTGGTCTGATCTGGGGTGAAAGCCGATGCAGCCCCACGCCGGAAATAGTCCGGCCTAGGGGGTGAAAGTTGATCCCTTCCATTTTGGGGTAAAGCCTACATGGCAACTGTCCGCTAAATGCTCCATGAAGGGTGTGCCCCCTGCGGCACCCGTACTGTCTTGGGCAGCAACAGGCTGTTATAAGCTGTGTGCCGGCCGACGAAGACATGAAGCTCCAAGTGATGCTCCGCAGCATTTATTGTGGCTCAAAACCTCACTTTGATTTCTTTGCGATACTGCCGGTGGGTTCGCCATGTCGCGTCCACTGCTCTCTTGTATAGTTTCTATAGCCATTGCGGCTTTGGTCAATGCATCACTGGAGGACCGGGCGATTGCGCAGCCTTTGACCCTAAACCCTATAAACCCCATAACCCCCATGAACCCTATAAACCCCATAAACCCTAGAAACCCTATAAACCCTATAAACACTGTAAACCCTATATATACCCCAAAAACCCCAAAAACCCCAAAAACCCCATAAACCCCATAAACCCTACATAAACCCTACATAAACCCTATGAACCCTACATAAACCCTACAAGCCCCATAAACCCATCTTAGTTGAATTCTTCAGAGGAGTCATGCCCCGCCAGCTTGGAGTCCCAAGCGCGCGTGCTGCTCCAACACAAGGTGCCTTGTCTGAGCGGCGCAGGACTACCCTCAAGTCCCGACCCCTAAACTCCTAAGCCCCTAAACCCCAAACCCTAAACCCTTAACCCTAAACCCAAACCCTAAACACCATAAACCCTAAGCTACCGACCTCAGGTCGCCGAGACTCAGTTAGAAGTTCAGGCCGAAGAGCTGACTGAGGCAGAGGGCCATTCCTGGGCAAATTGTTTCAAATCTTCACATGATCATTATGAACTATTATATTTATCATTCTTGTTATGATAACTTGAATCATGATGAGGATTATTCGTATTGTCACTGCTTGAGAGGGCGTTGCTCAGGAAGTTCAGGGCAAAACTAGAGCTTCGCAGAACTCGACTCGACGTTTGCTTCGCGGATGCCAGCATTGCATTTCTGGCACCTCGGACTTTCCCACACCATTTCTTGGCAGGAGCCAGCACCGTTGAAGATGCGGGCGGAAGAGCGTGAAGGAGAAGGGCAAGGCACCACGTCGGAACCCATTGAATTGCCCTGTTATCTTGTTGGCTTGGCTGGCTGAGGGGCTCGTGTGTCATAATGGGAAGCCCAGCATGGTTTCAAAAAGTCGAGACTTTCCGTGCATAGACTCACAAGACCTCGAGGCTTCTTGCGCTCTTTGCCTGTCAGGCAAAAAAGACAACGAAGCCCTCGCTGTCTATTCTCCTCTGTTGCCGGCTTGCGTTTGTGGGGGCTGGGGGGGGGGGGGGGGGATGTGCCGACATTAGGGGTACCACATTGTGGTCCTGTTGATAAGGTAATCCTGCTATTTGGGGGTTTGTATTAGGGGTCCCGAATCATGGAGCATTGCTCGGTGCATCAGTTAGCTTTTGATCGCCACCCCTAAACCCTAAACCCTAAACCCCTAAATCCTAAACCCCTAAACCCTTGTGTGGAACCCTAAGCCCTAAACGCTTCTGGAACGGCTTCTTGTTGGCCACGCCCTGGATGAGCAGCTCCTCCCCATCTCAACCCAGCCAAGCCGAAGCGCAACTGCGACCTGACTTCGAAACATGCTCCTCTCATCAAGCAGTGTTGAAGTCTAACCCTGAACTCCTAAACCCCAAACCCCAAACCCCGAACCCCGAACCCCAAACCCCAAACCCAAAAACCCTGGTCACATGCCGACGAGAAAAGATTCAAAGCAGAACCCAGGCCCGCCCCGAAACTTCAAAGGACCCACTCCGGCCCCCCTCTGGGCTGTAGGGTTTAGGGTAAAGTTTAGGGTTTATAGGGTTTAGGGTTTATAGGGTTTAGGGTTTAGGGTTTAGGGTTTCGGGTCGTGCAGAGGCCTTGTGCCGCCCAAGAATTTCCAATATGAGCAAGTGGATGTTGTTCTAAATTCTAGTGCGAAGCCTCAGGTGGCAGGGTTACATTGCGCCACGCCCTTGCGCCGCCATGCGCCGTGCTAGTGTTCGGCCACGCCGGCAAACATGCTAACTGCAAAACGTGGTACCGACAAGCTCCCTGGGTTGAGCGGGGGGTTGGGGGGGACTGCGCCCCCCCCCCCCCCCAATTGCAAATATTCAGCAGAAAAGAAAAAACACCATAAATATTGAGCATCCCGAGCAAGTAACTGGTTGAATATTTGCAGATACTCCAGCGGGAGGGTTGGGGGGGGGGGGGGGGTACACCCCCCCCCATTTGCAAATACTTGGCTTGCATGCCAGGTTAGAGATTTTGAGCGGGGTGCCTCTTGAAAAGCCTACACAACGGGGAGCGCGACAAGCAAATACTCGGGAGGTGTGCAGGCTCCAAATCCAGTTTTGAGTCCAGTATTTGTGTGCCTCTCTCAGCACCAGCGCGTGCCGGAAAGTACGCGCCTGCCGATGTTTTTGTACTTAAGCACAAAGAGGCCGAAAAGAGGCCACCCGTGGTTGCGGGCAGCACAAGGGCCGCTCCCCGTTTAGGGTTAGGGTGGGTTTAGGGTTGACAATCGGAGTGGACCAATATCTGCATTAGATACTCAGGACCCTGCACAACATGCTCAAGCCGGCTGGGGGTAAGCCTCCGGGGGCTCACATGGTTCCGCCAGCAACGGTGCCTTATCGGAGAACTGGGAGACTGGTTGTTGGAGTACTATGCTGTAATACTTTCTGTTTGTTCTGGGTTCCTTTTAATTTTATGCTACTTATACCCAAGAAGTATATGCTGTTTTTCCAGGGTCTACACTAAAGTGGGGGAGAAGGTTGTGTGACTTCGTGCATTCAGGACTATCTACTCGGCCAGATGTCCCTTCAGATGCCCAGACCTGTAGATGCTGAAGAGCTCCGATATACATTGATGTGAAGCCATACGGGGAGTTTACGAAAATAAGGGGTCCCTGATATAGATCCCCAAAGACTAGGACTCCCTTATACTAAGCACCCCAATAAGGTGCCCCTCATATCACAAACCCCCATATGATGCAGAAGCTATAAGCACACTTAAGCACACCCCTAAACCCTAAGCCCTAAACCCTGAACCCTGAACCCCAAACCCTAAACCCTAAACCCTAAACCCTAACCCTAAACCCTAAACCCTAAACCCTAAACCCTAAACCCTAAACCCTAAACCCTAAGCAAAGGTACAAGATGGACACTTCGAGCTCTGCCACGCCCAGCCGGGCAACGCCTTGGGACAGGTGGGACAGACTGTTACCTAGGTAGGCCCTTGGGATACTATATTTTCCCTTTTTGGGGTTTAGGGTTTAGGGTTTAGGGTTGAGGGGTCTTGGGATACTCTATCTGGGGTTTTTTTAGCAAGCTCATGCGAGGTCACCCTTCAGTTCACGGAATTCGCGAGCAGCAACATTTTCCCTTATGGGGTGCAATTGGGTTTAAGAGGATCATGTTCAGGAATATTTTTCAGAGGGCTTTGAGGGCCATCCTAGTTACGCGTAACATCCATCAGCCACGTCTTCCCTGCCTGCCACACAAGAGACCTTCAGCAGTTTCAGCGTTTTAGGTCGGCGTGGGCACACAGCTTCCCAGTCCAGCTTGCAAACAGACGTGTCTCCCAGGTCATGTATGTCTAACGGGTCTAAGGCCCTGTATCTGGGCATGAAGTAGGGTAGGGCTCTAAACGATGGGTCCTTTTGAGGAGACTTCTTGGGTACTCTAGCCTATCACGCTCTGTATTTGAAGCATACCCCCAAAACGGGCCCAGATTTCCTAACGTTAGCCCTTCCTACTGCAAAAAAAACAATCCGTGGGCGCTGTTCATCCCGCACCCTAGCTGTCCCTCGACGGCTTGTCTCCTTGTTTTGTTTGCTGGTCTTGGGGGCTTCGTTGGATTAGTTTCGGTTCTGGTCTGTCCTCGTTCTGGTGCGCCTTCAACCGCCAACCATGCACTGGCCAGGAGTGAAAGAACGAAATCACTTGAAAAGCCGCCAATGTGACAAAGTTAACAGTCAGATACTCGCCTTTAGCTGTACAGGCCTTTGTCCCGACTCAAGCTGTTTCCAAAGGATCGGAAAGTCCAAACAGTCAAGCCGAATCTCCCAACTTCATCAGCCGTTTGACCCCTGCGTTGTAAATGCTTCCCCCCCTGCCCCCTCCCCCCCCCCCCTTAAACCCTAAACCTTAAAACCCTAAACCCTAAACCCTAAACCCTAAACCCTAAACCCAAAGAGAGGGCCTCGAAGCTTGACCCCTTGTCCAGGTGTCTGAGGGCCTGAACGTCTCATCTTCCTGGAACGAAGTCGGCGCCAGCTGTACCACCTCAGAGGTACCTCAATGGCGGTTTCCCAGAAACCCTAAAAACCTAAAACCCTAAAACCTGAAACCCTAAACCCTTCTTCGTAAACCCTAAACCCTAAACCGCGTCCTTTTTCTTATTTAGGGTACCCAAATAGGGGCCACAATTTAGAGAGCCATATCGCTCCATGGCACCCCTGGACCCCCTTCTCCTCTGAGGCTGTTGAGGGTTTCAAGAGGCTTTAGGGGAGTGTTTGTTTTTTTTTTCTAAATGGGTTTAGGGTTAGGGCGTTTAGGGGTTTGAGGTTTTAAGGGGTTTTGGGTTTAAAGGGGATTTAGAGCTTTAAGGGTTCTAAGGCTTTTAAGGGTGTTCAGGGTTTTTAAGGGTTTCTCAGGGTTGCTCAGGGTTTCTTAGGGTTTTGGTGTGTTAGCGTTTAGGGCCTACAAGCAGCCAACTTACAGTCACACAGTCAACACACCTTGGGAGCCTTTCGCTCTCCGTACTCATGGTGGGGGGGGTTTAGGGTTTGGGGTATGGGGTATGGGGTATGGGGGGGGGGGGGGGGGGGCGTCTTGAGCCGAAGGCCCAAAAGCTGCTAAGATCCACTCTAGCACAAAGGAGCATTCAAGATCCTACGGCCGGATGTCTCACAGAGGCTATGCAAACAAAGTTCGGCTTACAAATCTTGTGGCCAGAGCTATTTACAAGTCATGGCCGAATCAGCTCAACTAGCACGAGAACTGTTCAGCAACCAGTTGCATCTGATCTGAGACAACTTGGTGAATTTGCTGAGACCGCAACAGCAACAGCAACAGCAACAACAACAACAACAACAACCACAACCACAACCACAACCACAGCGACAGCGACAGCGACAGCGACAGCCACACCAACACCAACACCACCAACAACAACAACAACAACAACAACAACAACAACAACAACAACAACAACAACAACAACAACAACAACAACAACAACAACCAACAACAACAACAACAACAACAACAACAACAACAACAACAACAACAACAACAACAACAACAACAACAACAACAACAACAACAACAACCAACAACAACAACAACAACAACAACAACAACAACAACAACAACAACAACAACAACAACAACAACAACAACAACAACAACAACAACAACAACAACAACAACAACAACAACAACAACAACAACAACAACAACAACAACAACAACAACAACAACAACAACAACAACAACAACAACAACAACAACAACAACAACAACAACAACATTTGCATTGCACTCACTGCCAGAATCAGCATGTGGACCTCTGATCACTTTGGATCCTCGGCACGTCGGCTACTCTGTATCCGCCTTGGGAGCTCCAGCAGTCTTTGCTAGTTGGTACTTCACGCCCCTCGGGGCTGCTGAAGATTGTTGTGCACAGCTATGTTCAAGTATGTGGAATGCATCCGCCCCTCGGGGCTGCGATAGCGCTGTGCTGGCTGGGCACCCTACGACCGCTTCCTACTGGCTCACCTGCACCCGCGACTGCTGCAGTGCCGGCTGGCCCCGATGTTGTGTTGCAGGCTATAGCTGTGCGCTAGCTGAGTTTGGTGTGATTAAGGCGGGCAAGTGTGATATAGAAGGTCTCACCCGCCTTTTTTATTTCACAGTCCGGCCTTTTGGACTTCGAGGATCGCTTCCTCCAGATTGCCAGGTCTCACTACCTGCTATACTGAATCTGCTTTGGCAGAGTACTTAAGGATATTCAGGAGGAAACCTCCTAATCTGATGCAATGAATCAATGAAGAAATTGAAGTTGGCACGGAGGCAGCCTCCGATATCAAGTACTCAGCACTGCAAAAGAGTGAAAAATAAGCGCGGCTACCCCGACACCCTACTGTGAGTCACTGCGTCCAGCACCCACGCACCAGCTGTTTAGCGAGCCGTACCTCTGGTGAGGCCGACACTCAGCGTTCCTGTCTAGTGACGTCTCACACAGGTAACGCTAAACAACTGGCAGAGGGCCGTAGGCAGAGCGCACCAAGGCGGCCTTGCACGTTCCAAGAAGGATGCCCAAGTTGGAGGCAGGGTAGCTAAGTTTGCGAAGCCTGACCTGGGACGCCTTGCGCGGCTCCTGGGGCCAGCGCTGCGACAGGGCAAAATTGCATTCCTGGTCGAGAAAATGTGACCCCAACTGACCGAACTTAACGAGGAGGTCTCACATAGGCACGAGTACTTTGCGAAGAGGGAAGCACCTGACCTGGGACACCTTGCACGGCTCTCGGGGCCAGCGCTGCGACAAGGCAAGGTTGCATCCGAAAAAGTGACCCTAAGCTGAACCCACCGACCTGGAGGAGACCTCACATGTTCTGAAGTGCGCGCAGGGCTCTTTCAGATGCTTCAGGTTCAGGGACAAGAATGGGTCAGCTTGGCCTTAAGCTACAGCAGGCAGAACGGTCTACTGTGAGAAACACTACCGGGGAGGAAGCCTCCGGAGGAAACCTCCGCATGTGAAAGTTTCACGCAAGAGACTATACATCTTAGCACGAGATCATGGCTTTATTGCGCGCAGGGCAGCGTTCATGCCGAGTTGCCTTAGGCAACAGCAGGCAGATAGGTCTACTTTAAGAAGAAAGAACACTGCTGCGGAGGAAGCCTCCGGAGGAAACCTCCGCATGCGAAGGTAGAGCGAGCTAGACCCTTACGTAGAAAGCCAAATACGATCCCTGGCAAATTTGATCCGAGAGGAGCGTAGTTCGCCGTGGTGAGCGGTCATCATCTGCGAGATACGCCACTTCTTCTCTCAAAAAACCTGTCCTATAATGCCCAGATCTCCAATCATCTCCTAGATGAATGATGAATGCATATAGTCGAAAGCTGACCACAGCGGTTGTCGTGCCATTATCTATAAACTCTGGAAGCTCCAGAGTTGTGTCTAAAACTTGAGGCCGATTTGTTTTCTCCAAGTGCTCAAACCTTTGGATCTGAATGCAAACCAGGTTCACTCCCGGGAGTAGCCCATAGGTGCTCCCCCTGTGCGCCCACTGAGAAATGGCTTGCTGTAGTGTGGAGAGGCCATCTGGTGGGTCAGGCAAGAAAAGAATCAAACCCCCTCTATCCTCTACGCTGATTCTTTCCACGGGTGCTGTGATTTGAACCCTCGCTTCCCAAACATCTGCTGAAAGCACATGGGATCTCTGAATGATATGTGCTAGAAACTGGGATGCATCTTCTTGCCTGGGTCTGAATCGCCATCCCGTCAGCAGAGGACGTAGCTGTCGTAGCCTACGAACATCCACACTAGAAGAACGACCCCCTGCTGCGTCAATTTCCGTCAATATTTGTCTCAGATATGGATCAGAAAGAATACCCTCTGATGCAAGCGAGGCAAGGATATGCACTACTGTGTGTGCATAGCACAGTTGATGCGGATTATGATAGGCCAGAGTCCAGGCTGTGACGGGCACTGACGAAGGTCTCCCCTCTGCTGGTGCGTCTCGCTGGGAGCTTGCTGGTGCCTGGTGAGACCGAATCCTACTGGTGGAGGAAGCCTCCTGGGAGGAACCCTCCTGCGCACGAATCCCAAGTTCCGACGTCACAGTGCCATATTCTATGTGTGGGTCGGTAGACTTTTTCATTGCTGCACTCATGGCATAGACCTGCAGCAGGACTACACACTGGTCCGCGTGGCGAACCGGAGCGTCAACCATCATGCCACAATATCTGCATTCCTCCTTTTTATGAAGCAGTCTCTTATGTGTGCGCATGTTGGCATAGACTGAGTCTGAGGCCCCTGCCCAGAAAGCCTGGTGCGCTTTCTGAATGTGCTGTTTGACGCCCTTGTGACCGACAATGAACTGCCCACAGAGGCTGCAGTAAGCCCGCAAGTGCTTGGTCACATGAGCCTTTTTGAGAAGCAGGTCAGGGTCTCTTTTCAATTGATCCTGAACACTTGGTTGGAGCAGCAAGGCTGTGCTCTCCGCTCCTGAGCAGGACGATGATCGCTCCCTCAGCTCTGGAAGCTTTGAACATGTTCCCGATTCAACATGTCTGCGAAGCTGATGCATTGTGCGCAGCTGTTTGTGACATGCTGCACATTGCGGGAGTCCCTGCAGACTATGTGCGAAGACTTGGAATTTAGGGCCCAACTGGTTTGCTCTTTGGCCTCCATGCTTCACTAGTGTATGATGCTGCAAAACAACAACAACAACAACAACAACAACAACAACAACAACAACAACAACAACAACAACAACAACAACAACAACAACAACAACAACAACAACAACAACAACAACAACAACAACAACAACAACAACAACAACAACAACAACAAACAACAACAACAACAACAACAACAACAACAACAACAACAACAACAACAACAACAACAACAACAACAACAACAACAACAACAACAACAACAACAACAACAACAACAACAACAACAACAACAGGAACAACAGGAACAACAGGAACAACAGGAACAACAGGAACAACAGGAACAACAGGAACAACAGGAACAACAGGAACAACAGGAACAACAGGAACAACAGGAACAACAGGAACAACAGGAACAACAGGAACAACAGGAACAACAGGAACAGGAACAGGAACAAGAACAAGAACAAGAACAGGAACAACAACAAGAACAACAAGAACAACAAGAACAACAAGAACAGCAAGAGCAACAAGAACAACAAGAACAACAAGAACAACAAGAACAGAAAGAACAACAAGAACAGCAAGAACAACAACAGCAGCAGCAGCAACAACAACAACAAGAACACGAAGAAGAAGAAGAACAACAACAACAACAGCAACCACCACCACAACCGCCACCACAACCACCACAACAACCACCACCACAACCACCACAACAAGCTCCAGAACAACCACAACAACAAAAACCACAACAACAACCACAACAACAACCACATCAACAACAGCCACAGCAACAACCACAACAACGACCACAACAACGACCACACCAACCACAGCAACGACAACCACAACAACCGCAACAACAACCACCACAGCAACCACCATAGCAACCACCACAACAACCACAACAACCAGAACAACCATAACAACCACAACAACCACAACAACCACAACAACCACAACAACCACAACAACCACAACAACCACAACAACCACAACAAACACAACAAACACAACAACCACAACAACCACAACAACCACAACAACCACAACAAAACACAACAACCACAACAACCGCAACAACCGCAACAACCGCAAAAACCGCAACAACCGCAACAACCGCAACACAACCGCAGCCACGCCAACCACCCAACCAGCCCAAGCACCCGAACCACCCCACAACCACCACAACCACAACCACCACAACCACCCCAACCACCACAACCACCCCAATTACCACAACCACCCCAAAACCACCACAACCACAACCACACCAACCGCACCAACCACCACAACCACCCCAGCCACCACCACAACCACCGCCACAACCACCAGAACCACACGCTTTTGTATACAGGTTTGGGGTCTCAAGCCCTGAGCCAACACCTAAACCCTGAACCCTAAGCCCTAAACCCTAAACCCACCAGCAATCACGTGACAGGTGGTGTTGTTCTATCCGGGGGAGACGAGTTCGGGCTTCCCGACCTTCTCCACAAGTTGCTGCCCTGCAAACAAGGACAGGCTGTTTAGGGTTTAGGGTTTAGGGCTGCAAGCCCTGAGCTGCTGAATTGCAACCTTGAACGTTTGCGTCTGACCTTAGTTCAGTCAAATAAGCTGTTTCGGCCCTAAACCTCCAGCCTTCACTTGGCAGCTTACGACCCCAAAATATAGACCCCCACATAGTAGGATTCCCTCATAATGAAGACCCCAATAAGGTACCCCTAAACCCTAAACCCCTAAATCCTAAACCCTAAACCCGAAACCCCCACATTTAGTAGTTTCGCAGACCTTCACTTGAAAGGAAATCTGCGCCGGCTGCGCAAAGCTGAACGGCGCGAAGACGGGCTGCGAGGTTTGCAGAGGTGGCTTCACCCTGCGCGACCCAGCTCGGTTTTCGAAGTTCAGGTTCATGTATTTATGTTTGATGATCATTATGTTTCATTTGATTTTTGTCAATAAACAAATAGAAGAATAAGAATAACAATAGTAATAGTAATATAATAACATTTACGAATAATAAAACGAATAATACTGATAGTAGTATTAATATTCGTAATACTTGTAGTACTAGTAATAAGAATAATAATGGTAAAATAAAAACAATAACAATAGTAATAATAATAGGAACAAGAATAGCAATACTAACAAGACCAAACATAATAATACTAAGAATAACAATAGTCATAATAATAATAATTTTTATAATAGTAACAATATTCGTACTAGCAATAGCAATAGCAATAGTACTAGTAATCGTAACCGTAATCATAGTCGGAATCGGAATCGTAAGAGAAGAAGGCAGCCAGAACTGAATGACGGCCCCTTGCAAGCCTCTGCCTCTGCCACTGCGCCACTCTTTGTCCATGATTGCCACTGCTGCTTGGGTCTAGAGTGGTAAAGCCCACGCACACAAAGCATGACAAACCCAAACCGGGAGTTTTACAACCCTAAAACCCTAACCCCGATTTTCGCCAAACAGAAGAAGCAAGTCGAAACAACAACCGAGGCAGTGACAAGACGTGCATGGCTTGCGTGGATGTACCCGGATGGGTCAACAAGGCCAGCAGGTTCTCCCTAAAAAATCTCGCTTTAAGCCCTGTAAAGCAGAAGCAAACCCTAAACCCTCAACCCTAAACCCTAAACCCTAAACCCTAAACCCTTTTCGGCTGAAGCCCTGTGGCTCCCAAACATCCTTGGATCTTGCGGATGCCTTTCGTGAAGGCCGGGGAGAGCTGCATCACCGCAAGCTGCACAAACGAGAAGTACCAAGGCACCGGACTCTTGGAGATTAGGGTTTAGGGTTTAGGGTTTAGGGTTAATCTAGGGTTTAGGGTTTAGGGTTTAGGGTTTAGGGTTTAGGGTTTAGGGTTTAGGGTTACGTGCCATGTGCAGCCCGGGCACGTGGTGCTTCATGCATTGGCACCCTCAGGCATCAGTGCACAAGATGCGTGCTGTTCATGCGGAGGCGGGCAGAAGGCACGACCAGGGCGAGCCCAGACTTGTCTTCTTCCATGGAACTACTCTACTATACATGGGGAGAAACATACACGTCCCCACCTTTAGTAGTAAAACTGTTCTCCCCGTATGTGGTAGTCCAGCTCATGTCCTCTGCTACATTGCTACATGTCTGGAGAATGCTGGAGAATTGGCTCTAGTTCGGGCCGCCATCAAACAGGGACCCCGATCGTAGCAGCCGGGGGTCCCATGGTCCCCACGTTCAGCACCAGAACACAGGAAGGCACAAAGTTCACCTACTACGTCGCCCCCTTGGCGATTGGGTCCACGCAAGTCACCGGATACCCGGTGCCGCGAACTGGCAGCGGCTTGCCCACAGCAGGGGGTACTTATCTTCGGATCGCAATTTAAGGGGTCTCATTGCAGAACCATCAGTGAGCGTTCATCTCTTGATATTATCTAGGAAGGAGAGGATCTCTCTAAGGAAGAGTTATGCCCCTGCGGAATCGTTCTGTTCACGAGGGCGCTTCCCGAAATGCCAGCAACTTTCATAGGGGTCCATGTTGGGGGTAGAGGTCCATAGGTTCATTCTACAAGAGGTGTATAGGGGGTTGCAAGGCGTCCGCAAGTAGCAGAAGAGCGGGCGCGAGGACCCTATGTGCATGTGAGCTGACAACAGGGCACCAGCCCAAAACAGGGCAGGCGACAAATTGGCGGAAATATGCATACAAAAAATGATGAATAAATATAAATATATATATATACACACACGCACATTCTTTTAATTCGTCTAATTTAGTATAGGACCTATGAAGCACAATACGTGTCTATATATGTCTGCAACGCTTGACTTTCTTCCAGACCAAGGTCGTTGACAAAAGCTAGGGTTTCGTATCTGGCTTGTGTTTTTTTTCACGCGCCGCCCGCTAGCTTTGAAACAAAGCAAAGGGAATTTTGCGCCCTGCACCCTGAACCCTAAACCCTTAGCCCGAATGCGTTTCGGTACAGCTTGTGGCACACTGCAAGGCCGCTACTCAGTGGACAAGGCACCCGGCTGAAGTTTCTGTTTTCTTGTCAGATTGTGCCTCCACTTGCGGGCCTGGGTGGCGAACTTTGCCTCTTTTGCATATAGAATCATATAGATTCACGTAGGAGCTACTTGCTGCAGCTTTCTTTTTTCAGCGCCATGCCAAATACCATATTTATAGGGCCCTGAAAGGAAGGGGGTATCAAGGGGGGTATGCAACCCAAGTAATACGCCCCACTACTCCCTAAGGCTCCCTAAGCTTCCAGTAAGGTTCCCTGGGCACCTACACCCACGAACCCCCTGAAACCCTGAACCCTAAACTTTCCTAAACCCTAAACCCTAAACCCTCCTAAACCCCAAATATGCTTCTCGCCTCGGATTGGCAGCCTTGGAGGATTGTGAGCTGAGCAAGTATGGGCTGACCATCAACTCACACACTGGGGCCCCAGGGCGGCAAGGAGAAGCTTTTTGCGAGATCGGGGGTTTAGGGTTTAGGGGCGACCGGGTCGAAACACAACCAAACGGGAGAAAATACAACCCAACGGGGGAAAACACAACTGAACCATGTTTGTGGCCTGGCCCGAACGGGAGAAACTACAACTGGCTATTGCGGTGCCTTTATACGTTTGGACATGCCCTGCAGAAAAACCATGGTGCATCCTTAAGGTTTCAGGACAAGATCTGGACAATGGTGGTTGTGATTCATCCCTTCTCTTTGCGCCATAGCACGAGCATAGAATATACAATAGAAGACTGATATTATATATAACATAACAATATCAAATACAGTGCGTAATATATATATATATATATACACACAGAGATGTGTATATATATATATATGTACATATTTATATAACTCAACAAAACCAACAATTCAACCAAAATCCCTCCAAACCCCTGGCTGCCAATAACTCAACAAAACCAACAATTCAACCAAAATCCCTCCAAACCCCTGGCTGCCAATAACTCAACAAAACCAACAATTCAACCAAAATCCCTCCAAACCCCTGGCTGCCAATAACTCAACAAAACCAACAATTCAACCAAAATCCCTCCAAACCCCTGGCTGCCAATAACTCAACAAAACCAACAATTCAACCAAAATCCCTCCAAACCCCTGGCTGCCAATAACTCAACAAAACCAACAATTCAACCAAAATCCCTCCAAACCCCTGGCTGCCAATAACTCAACAAAACCAACAATTCAACCAAAACCAAAGGCCTGCAATAACTCAACAAAACCAACAATTCCAACCAATCCCTCCAAACCCCTGGCTGCCAATAACTCAACAAAACCAACAATCCAACCAAAATCCCTCCAAACCCCTGGCTGCCAATAACTCAACAAAACCAACAATTCAACCAAAATCCCTCCAAACCCCTGGCTGCCAATAACTCAACAAAACCAACAAGTCAACCAAAATCCCTCCAAACCCCTGGCCTCCAATAACTCAACAAAACCAACAATTCAACCAAAATCCCTCCAAACCCTTGGCCTCAAAATCCCTCCACACCCTTGGCATCCCACTCTAAGACCCTAAAGACCCCCCAGTTGTATTATCCCCCATCTGGATGTGAGTGAAATCTGTGGATCATGTGGGGCCTCTGAAGGAGGGTCACCAGGTTGTACTATCCCCCATCTAAGCCAAGAATTCACGATTTCAGTTGTGTCTTTACTCATCTGGTTGTATTATCACCCATCTAGTTGTAGTTAGCCTTATTCTCGGGTTTAGGGTTTAGGGTTTGGGGTTTAGGGTCGTTGTTTCTAATTGTCTTGTCGACAATTATTGTGTGACGCTCGAACTGCGGTCCTCCTATTGAGTCTTGAGAACTCCGAACGTGAGACGCACGAAGAGGAAGACTGCTTTTGTGACCTCTTGCGCGCGTTGAAAATGAGAGTTCCCTGCAGCTCGAACTGACATGTATCTAGAACAAAACCAGACAGCAATCCCAGACTTGGAAAGGAAGGCAAAAGGTTCATACAACCAGTTCCAGTTCTTGTGGCAAGACGTTATCCAGGCCAGGCGTATTCACAGGTTCTCACGGGTGTGACAGCAGGAAGAAAGAGGCAACCCTAAACCCTGAACCCTGAACCCACGTAGAAACACGAGGGTACGGCTTCTTGCTTGCATGGTCCTCTCGAGGTGGAAACAAGGGCTGTGTGAGGAGCTGCATATGGTTTAGGGTTTAGGGTTTAGGGTTTAGCGTTTAGGGTTTAGGGTTTCGGGTTTAGGGTTTAGGGTTTAGGGATGACTTTGACGACTCGCTCCTAGAGATGGGAGGCGAGAGTCCCAGCGATGGGATGAGACAGGTGAACAAGTTCATGTGACACACCCTAAACCCTAAACCCTAAACCCTAAACCCTAAACCCTAAACCCTAAACCCTAAACCCTAAACCCTAAACCCTAAACCCTAAACCCTAAAACCTACACCCTAAACCCTAAACCCTAAACCCTAAACCCTAAACCCTAAACCCTAAACCCTAAACCCTAAACCCTAAACCCTAAACCCTACACCCTAAACCCTAAACCCTAAACCCTAAACCCTAAACCCTAAACCCTAAACCCTATCCTGGCTTGTGGCCTCAAGGTAAGACGGCTACAGGGCCGCTATCTTCACGGGATTTCCCGCTAGACCCTGAGCACCCTGCGTCTCAAGAAGGTTGGCTCTTTGAACCATTTCTTACAGAAGGCCCCTCTTAACCCGCAGAGAAAATCGGGCAAAACAGAAAGACATGATATCCCAGAGGGCTATCGCAAAGTCTTTCGACTAAAAGCCCTAAACCCTAAACAATAAACCCTAAAACCCTAAACCCTGGAGATTCCGAGGCCTTGCAGCTCAGCCCTTCCTGCAGCGTGGTGGGCTGTGGTGCAGCAGAACCCATCGACGCTGGTCCCAGCCGTCGAAGGGTTTAGGGCTTCGGGTGTCCTAGGAGTCGGCCCGAGGAGCTTTTGAGCAGTTTCTGTTTTCGGGTTTAGGGTTAGGGGTTTAGGGTTTAGGGTTGCAAATGAGCTGCAGTTTTCTCGGTGACGCAGCTTTTGCTTGGCGAGTTGTGGAATCAAGCTCCCAAATGGGGTGAGGGGGGCCCAGCGAAACCCATAATATCGGGGGTGTTTGATTGAAATCCAGGGCAGGGTGCCCTGTGGCCGCCTGCATATGCAATCTTCCATCGCAGCTGGAATGCGCCAGTGCCCTTGTCAGTGTTGGGGAGAACACCTGTGGTCGAAGAGACTGGATGGCGATATGCGTACGTCGTCATGCCCATGTGGGATTTGCGTTCGAGTACTTTCGATACCGGTTGCCACTTCAGCGAAAGATTCGAAAGGTCGTTCCCACTCCCTCTCCACTCTGAATTGTTCCCACTCCCTCTCCACTCTGAGTTTCCTCTGCTTCCTGTCTGCGAGACTGGGCCGGAAAGGAAAAGATCCTCCCGGCGTCGATACGTCCATCATCTCACGACTTGCAGGAGAATCGGAAACTGCGTTTTTTGCATTGCGGACTTCGCCACAGCTCTGGAAGCCAGAGGGAAAAGTTGGCGAGTGTTTCGCTTGACTGTTTGTCGTGAACGTCAGTTCTCAAGTCTGACCGGGGAATGCTACGTGGACTCGATCTCGGAGGGGATGTTGGGGTTTTTAGAAGACTCGGTTCAAGGCAAGGCGATTGCGTATCCTCCGTACTTTTGGGCCGTCGGGTCCTTTCAGATCCGTCTGATGAATCAGAAACACACGTTGCTAACGCAGACCTGAAGCTGCCCTGATTGAGGAAGTGAAGTGCACGATCTTCGCCGAGAAGGACTTAGAAGAGTGTCCCCCTGCACCCAGTCCTGGAGTGGCTCTGGAGTCGGCCAGTCAGCCTCTTTAAACCACCGTATCAAGCTTTGGCCCCCTAAACCCGACACCCTAAACCCTAAACCCTCCTTGGAGACAGGATTTCGGATCCATGATGGGCGCGATTTCGTCCAGTGCGCCGCTGGAGGTATTCGCTGAAGACGTGCCCTGCATGATTTGGGGAATTTCAGGAATGCCCAGGGGCCAAGCAGGATGAACAGGTCGTGGAAGGGCTTGTGCCGAGTGTCACGTGCAGAGAATCATGGGAACACGCATCCAGCATCATGTGGAGTTGTGCCAAGACCCAGGCGCATTGCAGTTTAGCAAGTGGTGACGCCAAGGAGTTGCCACCTTGTAGATAGCAGGAGCAAAAACACTGGCATTCTTAAAGAAGGGTCTGGCCTTCGTGTGCAACGCGTGCCAGCGCCGTGAGCCGATAATGCGGGAACTGAGCGTTGAGGTGTGCAGGGACAAGCGAGTGGTAATGGGGTGGTTGTACAGCCCCCAAAGCAATCAGCATCGCAACGTGTTGCCTTCCGCGACACGAACGCTGCTCCGCCAGAAAAGAGTTCACAACTCAGCAAGCTGGCCTGCATCCAGCCTCACTTCCCTTCCCAGCACCCAACTGGGCACTTTCCCAAAATAGGCGTACCCATTTTTAGAATCCCCTGTAAAGGGCCCCCTAAACCCCCTTTAAATGTCTGAAAACGCCAACTGCGCATGCCTCAGGTGAGTTACGGGTCTGCGCCCATTGTCTTCACCTCGGTGTCCGCGCCGGCAAGCATTGCCCCTGCGGTGCGCCTCGGCAAGCGATGGGGTTTAGTGTTTAGGGTTTGGGGTTTGGGGTTTAGGGTTTAGGGAAGCCCTAAACACCCCCCAAACCCCAAACCCTATGGGCCCGAAACCTCACGATGCCCTCCAGGAGAACGCCAAGCCTTCCGACGTTTGTTCAAGTTCTTTCTACTCCCTGAGCTTCGACAGGTTTTTACCAGACCCTAAGGCCTAAAGACCCTAATCCCTAAGAGCTTCGGACCTTAGAAATTTATGGAAAAGGGCGGGCTTGAGGTCCTTACGTGGTCCCTGATTGGGTTCCCCCACAGAAAGGCGCCTATAGGGGCACAAGAATATCCTTTCTCTACAACCCCTTCCCCCCCCCCCCAACCCAACCCAACCCAACCCCAAAACAAGGGGGAGACCATGATGTTGACAAACCTCGCCGGGGCAGAGTTGTTCATGAGCTCTCCCCTGTAGATTGTCATATATGCTTTCGAGGGTACACAGCATCTGGGCCGCGCGCAACTTCAAATGCTGAATGAAGACCCTCCGACCAAAAACACCCTCCTGAGAATCCCTAAACATCCTAGAATTTGAGACAAGGACCTAGATCCCCAAACACCCGAAAAGCCCCAAGAATCCCTCAACACCTAAGCGGCCTACAAGCGCCCCAGACAACCCATGCACTAAACCTTGAACCCTAAATCCCAAACCCAAAAGCTTCAGGAACCCAGCCCTGGCGGGTGGCGAGTTCGGAGGCTTTTCAACACTGGCTCGTATTTCTCTTAGCTGCTCTCGTCAAGAGGGGGTACCCTTTTTGGGGGTCCCTTGAAGACCTTCTATTCTATTTGGGCTCGAAACGGGGTACCCCTATTTTGGGAATACCTGTTTCAGAGGTTTGATTTTGGCTTATCTACCAGGCCCCGAGTCATCCCGAGTCCAGGACCCAGGGCAGGCCCTCATTCTCCTTTTTGGGTTTTGCTTCCCTTATAAGCCCCTGTAAACCAGAAAAGGCCCTCTGTATTCCTGGGCTACTCTTGCGTCTACTAGTGGCATGGCCTTGCACGGACAGCTTTGGGTTTAGGGTTTAGGGTTTAGGGTTTAGGGTTTAGGGGAAGCCTCCCACTGTCGCAGGCTTGACCTGTGTCCCCGATGTCACCAGCAACTTGGCTCTGGGTCCCACACCCCGAGCCTTGGGCCCCAAACCAAACAGAGCCAAAACCCTAAACCCCAAACCGCAAACCCTAAACCCCAAACCCTAAACCCCAAACCCCAAGCCCTAAGCCCTAACCGCTGAAGCCTGGAAACCTGGAGCCTGCATGGATGCTGGTCGCGACAACATGCTCGGACCGCCTAGTCACTTAGACACCGGTTTAGGGTTTAGGGTTTAGGGTCTAGATCCTCGACAAGGCCGCTCCAGCCATGGTTGTTTTGGGCTTTCCTGCTTTGAGTCAATTCGACCCATTTATTCAGCACCGTCGACAGAAGCTTCTTTCCTTTTGATGTTTCAGATTTTCGCTTCGCTGTACATGCGCAGCTCACTTCTTGACTACACAGAAGAGGATGCGCGATGTAAGCAAGCCTTGGTAGTGCGAGGTGCTTTGTCAGTCCTCACATCTGCCCAGGCTGGCTGTCGCTGGATTCTGCCACGGGCAAGTTGTCGCTGGATTCTGCGAATATCTTCGGGAACGAAGGCCGCCCAACAAAGGCAACTAGAAAATGGATATACTAACGATAAAAAGTGTTGAGCTTGTTAATTAAGATGTCCCCATTCAAACGGGCTCTGTTCATGGATGTCTCTGTCCGAGACACGATACACAGCAAAATGACATGATGTTTGTAGAGGTTCCGTGTTTTCTAGAGGTACGGGTATAGACAGGCGGGTGCTAACAAGAGCGGTGAGGATCATGCAGATCGAGGTATGATCCTCTACCTGCACAAAGATTCAAGTATAAACATGCATGTGTGTATATACATATATATATACACATGCATGTATATATATATATATGTATGAATGTGCATATATATATATACATATATATATATATCCTATGTTTATGGTAAAAAAACCCATTCTTTCGACGCCTGACCGACGAAAACCTCGATAACACCAAGAAGCCGATGTCACCGGTGGATTTCAGAACGGTGGCTTGACACTTCATCGTTTCGACATTACCTTTGTGGTGCTTTACGGTAACTTTAGATCCTTAGCCTTTTGGGTTTATTGGGTTTCTTAATAAGGCAGCTAAAAGCAAGAATTTATAGCTACCCCCCCCCCCCCCCCCCTAAGTGCAGCCAAGTTACTATGTGTCTGTACAACGGCTTACGCATACACTAAGACTTCCTACTGTCTGCAACTATACTGTTTCTTGCTGTAAAACCCACCCTGGATATGACGTCAGTTTGGAATCTGAATAAGGCGAATAAGGATGTACAAGGACAACACGGCAAAGCAAGGATAGGTCAATGGGGCGAGGGGGGAGTGGGGTAGCATGAATGTTATATATATATATATATATGTACGAAAAGCCGTAAATCGACGTTTCCTGACCAGGTGGCGTGAAGGACGAAAAAGGCAACAACATTGGCGCAGGCACTATTGGGAGGTTTCATTAGGGCTTAGGGAGTTTGGGGGATTTGCGGGGATTTGGGGGGCTGTTGGGTTTGGAGGGTTTAGGGGTTGCGGCCTTCCTGAGGGAGGCTTCGGGCACACGGTAGGCACTACATTATCGTGCTGGTTTTTTCGATGTGGATTGCAGCTAATGAGTTGCTTGTCGCCCCCATGTCAAGAAAGCTACTCTGGCGTGAGCGTGTCATTGGGGGGGGGGTTAGGGTTTTGGGTTTGGGGTTTGGGGTTTAGGGTTTAGGGCTTGTCTAGAGCAGTGACAAGGCCTGGAATCAAGTCCGAGACTACGGCTCGATTGCAGGTGTTGTGACTACCGTAGTCTATTGCAGCGCCAAGGCTCGCACCTTAGGCATCCTGTCACTAGTCACCATACCCAGAGGGTCCATTTCTAGTACTACTATGGAATTAGGTACCCCAAAACCCTATTTAGTATGGTTTTGGGTACCTAATTCCATAGTTCCCCTAAGAAATCTGAAGTCCAGGTGCCGTTTGCTCGGTGGAGAAGGGCGGCGACGCGCGGCTCAAGGTGAAGTAAGTCGACGCCCCTCTTGGAGTTGTGAAGTTGTCCTTACGCCCTTAGGGTCTAGGGTTTAGGGACTAGTGCTAGTTGTGCACCATCAGTTTCAGCAAAGTTGTTTGTCTCTTTTGTTCATGGCCCGACACTGAGCTTAGGGTTAAGGTTTCGACAGAGGGCCAGCGAAATGTGGCTCACTCGGCATCGTTGCCAACTGTCCTTGTTTTGCGTACCTCCCTCGCTTTAGGTTCGGCACTTAGACCTTTGAAGTGGGACGGAATGCTCGAAGAGGTAGTGGTGGTGAATCTGCAAACGATCTGCGGAAACAATACGGACTGGAATTAGCCGCTGAGGTGTTTTTTTTGCGTTGATCCTGTGAGCCTGTTGCTCAAGGACAGAATGTCACAAGACACCTCCAAGCTTGCATGTCCGGAACAGCTTAAGCATTCTCCAAGGCCAAAGGCAGCGTGGCGGTGATGTTTCCTCTTTTGTCCATCCAGGGGCCGCTTTACAGCTACTCGGCCGCATGTCGCCCGTTGCTTCAAGCTTGGCCTTGTGGTCTTGTTGCAGATGTGGACATGTTCACAAAGCTTAGCATGAATTGCCAATCCCATGCCCAGGGACCTACACCCCCACATCTGGTTGCCTTGAGCCGCGCGAAGCCTTGATCCCCTTCCGCAGTCACCGCACCCAACGATGTCTCAGGCTATCAGAGGGGTGAAGTCGTGTACGCCGCACGGCTGACCTTGGGCACGTGCTTTTGCGACAGGCTTATTCGAATTGTGCAGAAGTTGCTTACCGGGTGTTGTTTTGGGCTTAAGAAACACAAGCTAAACCCAGAACCCACTTCCAAGGCCACCGTCGGGGAGACGTCGCCGGTTCTGCCCGACCTGTCCGTGACACAGGGGCACGCAACTGTTGCACCCAGACCGGGGCCCAGTTGTAGCGTTCCTCATGTTCGGCTCACCTTATATTTGTATGTATAGAAATATATGGTCACCCCCCCCCCCCTCGACAGACCCCGGAAGTATATTTCCGGTCTGTTCAGGAAGGGGGGGGGGGGAAAAGCACCACTCCAAAATTCCTCGAGTTTCCAAAAATCCAAAAAATCCAACCCAGGGTTCCGCTTTTTGGAAACTCGAGCGGGAGCCTCAAAATCCTAAAACCGAGCAAATTCCTCGAGTTTCCAAAATTCCAAAAAAACCCACCCCAAGGTTTGGATTTTTGGAAACTGGAGCGGGAGCCTCAAAATCCAAAAATCGAGCAAATTCCTCGAGTTTCCCAAAATCCAAAAAAACCCACCCCAAGGTTTGGATTTTTGGAAACTCGAGCGGGAGCCTCAAAATCCAAAAATCGAGCAAATTCCTCGAGTTTCCAAAATTCCCAAAATCCAAAAAAACCCACCCCAAGGTTTGGATTTTGGGAAACTCGAGCGGGGGCCTCAAAATCCAAAAATCGAGCAAATTCCTCGAGTTTCCAAAATTCCCAACCTTGGTGGATTTTTTTGGATTTTTGGAATTTTGGAAACTCGAGGAGTTTGCTCGATTTCTGGATTTTGAGGCTCCCGCTCGAGTTTCCAAAAATCCAAACCTTTGGGGTGGATGTTTGGATTTTTGGGTTTTTAGAAACTGGATTTTTGAGAAGAGTTTTTCAGGGGTTCTTATATGATTCCTTATTGTGTTTTAGGCTGCCTATTAAATTTAATAATACTCCTGTTCACTTTAATGGGAGTCCTTATTTAATTATGGGATTCCTGTATTTGTTTAATGGGGTTCGTATTAGATTTTAAAGGATGCCTATTAAAGGACTTTATTGGGTTTCATATTGGTTCCTATTCATTTTAATCAAATGCCAAATAATTGGAATACGATTCTGAGTAATTGTAATAGCATTCATCTTCCTAGTTAGGTTTAATAAAAGTCTTAGAATTTTAATAAGCTTCACAACAAATTTTCAACATATTCCTATTAATTTCAATAGGCTTCTTATTCATTTTCATAAGATGTCTTACAATTTCTAATTGGGTTCCTTTTGCTTTGACAAGCTTGGATTCATTTAAAAAGGCTTCTGGTTAATTGGAATAGGCTTCGTATTCATTTTAACAGGGTTTCTCATTCATGTTGACAGGATTCCTAATAATGTTCATAGGATTCCTACTAGATTCCACAGTGCTCCGATTATGTTTTTAAATCCTGTTCCCTATTCATTTTAATTGGACTCGAAGCAATGTTATTGTAACTCTTATTTGTTTTATTAGCAATCCTATTAATTAAATGTTTTAATAGGGTTCATTATAATTCTAACGGTACGACTCTTATTGTTTTCAGTTTTGAAGGGTCCACATTACTTCTTTATAGAATTTTATTGGCTCCTCTTAATCCTTGAATAGGATTCACCTTCATGTTAAACGGATTCCTGTTACTCTTAAAAAATGAATTCATAGATTCTTTTGTAGGGTTCCTATTAAATCTAGAAGCATTCCTATGAATTCAAAAGGGTTCCTATTCATTTGAATGGCCTTCCTATGGTTCCTCTGAATTTAGGACACCAAGAAATTTTAATAGGAGCTTCTACGTATTTCAACCAGGTTCTTATTAACTGTACTAGGATTCTTACTAAGTTTTCAAAAAAGACTCGTCTTAATTTCAATAGGGTTCTCATTCATTTTAATGGGGTTCCTATTGATTTACATAGGATTCCTATTGAACTCATACGAAGCCTATGAATCCTAATAAACTTAATAGGAACCCAAGTAAAACTAAGAGCAATCTTATTAAAATTCATAGCAATCCACGATGTCGAGCAAATTGTTCAGGTCCTTACAGCATGCGTCCTTCTCACATCTGTCTGCATCTTTCATTGCGAACACAAAACCGTACTAATCGAAAAAAATGTGCTCTATTGTGTGTTATCGTGTCTGGCTACTGTGTGCAGCTATGCTGTCCGTCGCGCCCTCAGCCCTTTTTTTGCTTCCGGGGTCTGTCGAGGGGGGGGGGGGGGTGAGCAATATATATATATATATATATATACATATATATATATATACACCTAGGGTCCTTAAGGGAGGGGGGGTTCAAAGGGAGGGGGTATGTAGCCCAAGGTCCCCTCATACTCCCCACTACTCCCGAAGGTTCCTCACCTTTTTGGTTCCTTGCCGCAATGATGGCTTGACCTGGTATGCTCCTCAGGTTTTAGGTTCATTTGCAGGCAAACATCTAGAGCAGCTGGAAGTAGAGCCGGTCCTTTATCCGAACAGAAAAAGAGCCTCAAATTAACCTATCATGAACCCTAAACGAGAGGCCCCAAAAGGCTGTTCCGCCAGGAATCTAGAACCCTAAACCCCTAAACCCTAAATAAACCCTAAACCCTATAGCCCCCCCGGGGCGATCCAGGCGTTCCGCCAACGCGCTATTCCATCAGTTGTTCGGGCACTGGCTTTGCCTTCGACGAGTTGACCGGTGCCTCCGGCGGAAGTGAGCGGAGGGTGACACTATATCCCCCTTTGGAATTATTTTTTACTTTGGTCATATAAAACCCAAGATGATATTTAGAATACTATTTCTATTAAGGTTCTAAGGGGAGTGTAGGACAAACGATAGGGGTGCCCCAGTCAACACGTATCCGCGACTCACTGTGACTGTAGCGCTCTGTGGCTGATTCATCAGCAGCTGAGGGAACCCAACGATCGTCTAGAGAATCTCCTCACTTACCTGAGGACGTGTGCTGGTGCTGAAATGGTTCGCCAGAACTCTTCAGTCCGAAATCCTGTGCGAAATGCAAAGCTACTCCTGTCTACTGCCTGTATACCAATGATGCAGACTGCCAAAAAATCGAGACGGGCCCCTATTCTTGCATATCGCACCAGTCATGTCTTCGCCTTAATAGAAAACATGAGGCCCGTGGAGAGTCACAAGAAGTTGGGCCTAAGTCTGTTTTGAGGGCTTCCCCCTCCCCCCCGCCTTCCTCTCGAACCCTGATGCGAGACATGTCTTTAAGACAGCCCTCCACCAAAGAAACTGACTGCCCAATTCTGTGTTGGTTATTAGTAGGGAATGGGGAAACCCTAAACCCTAAACCCTAAACCCTAAACCCTAAACCCTAAACCCTGTATAATCCCTTAAAGGGTATAATATAGGGCCCTCATTCCCTGCTAACAGTAAGAGAAGCCATCGACTCATATGGACCTGCCTCACCAGGTCTGGCGACGTGGGAAGGCCACCAGCACCTTGTCAGCATAGCAGTTTAGGGTTAAGGGTTAAGGGTTTAGGGTTTAGGGTTTAGGGTTTAGGGTCTTTGTTCTTGGAGTTTAGGGTTTAGGGTTTCGGTGTGGGGGGCGGCTTATGAGGGCTTTCCTGGGGTGGGCAAAATCAGAAAAAAGGTTGAGAGCGGAGACTGTAGGAGGCCGAGTGCTTACGTCGTCTGAGTGACAGTGCCACAAGGCCAGGAGCCCAATTGACCGAACAAACCCCCTAAACCCTAAACCCTACACCCTACACCTTAAACCCTAAACCCTAAACCCTAAACCCTAAACCCTAAACAAGCTCTCTGAGGATCTTCCAGCTAGATGTTGCCAACGGGGACTTTCAGCTCAACCCAGAAGAGTCCCTGACCAGGATCTCATGCATTCTGAGAATGGCCGCAAGATCGCAAGGTTTAAGGTTTAGGGTTTAAGGTTTAGGGTGTAGGGTTCAGGGTTCAGGGTTTAGGGTTTAGGGTTCCGCTCCTCTTCCGGCAGGAGTTTGGATCACACGGGAGCCGCCTGGCAGCCCGCACCGTTCGCAAGAGGGCCCTCACGGGGCTTTTGTTGAGTCCAGGTCGTTGGGAATGCAGTGGAGCACTTCTTTCGCGAGAGCCTTTCACGAGAGCATGTGCAGAACCTATAACCCTAAACCCTAAATCAGGACAGCGCAACCCGGCGGAGCATCGGACCCCTTTCGTGCACGATCTTCAAGCACTGGGAGCGCCTCAGGCGTGAAAAAGAAACCCCGGGCCCTGGCTCCTCAGGCTTTGTCTTCGGGTCTAGGGCTTAGGGTTTAGGGTGTCGGGTTTTAGGGTTTAGGGAAGTCCGAGCAGCGAAAACTGGTTCTTTTTTGAGAGGGACATCACACATCACACCTCGATCCCAAGCGCCCTTGAGGAAGTCATGTCTTTGGTCACTCTGCAACCATTGCCTTTCCACTTAAACGCCTTCCCAGTCCACCTCCCCAGTCTGCAAGCCCAACCCCCAAAACCCTAAACCCTAAGCCCTCAACTATGCAAAAAAAGATCCCAGGTATCCGCCAATGGGACGCGGCCTGGCCCTCCACCACGAACTGCAGATCGAACTGAGGGAGCACCGCTAGACGTTTCGTGTCTAGGAAGTGTACACGGTATGCATAAAGCTTTTCTTTGAGCACCATGGCAAGTACTGTTGGGTTAGTGGCTGCTTTTGGAGTGCGATTTCGACGCCATCACCGCTCGTTAGGATCTGTAAATAATTTGTGTCCTAGGATGCCAAGCACTGCCCTTCCTTAGGGGTTGGGACCTCTCATGACCCCAGAATATCACTGTGCCACCCCGGGCCGTTGCCCTCCCACTATCCATCCAACCCTGCGAAACCGTCAACCAACAAAAGATGGGTCATTGTTGAAAATCATGTTACATGTTTGTGAAGACTTAAACCCAATAAGGAACAGAAGTGATCATTTTTTAATCGTACTGCAGGAAACCCTGAGCCCTATTGTGGACTTCTCCTCTGCAGGACCACACCTGCTGGGCCAAGAAGGTCCGAAGCTTCGCCACCCGCCACCTGAAGGACCCCAGGGCTTTGCCGATATGCAATGAAGATATACTAGGGGGGTTTTACGAAAATATGGGAGCAATCGAGTGGGCAGCAAATTTAATCCCAAAATATCCGAGAGCTTAGAAGATCTCGACAAGTGAGGTTGTCTGGTAGAGCCTCCCGGCTGATGCTCATGATGCTCGCGGTCGGGGGGTCGCTTGCGGCACCAGTAGAATCATACTAGCTATATATATATATATATATATATATTTTTTTTTTAATCATTTACTTGTTTGTCTATTAATCTTAATCTATATGATATTTTTGAATGTCTTTGTTTTGTATCATAATCTCATCCTTTGACGTTACATTCTCTTGTTTTTGTAATATTGTATGTTTGTTCTACTGTATGGTATTGCGTTGCAAAACTGCAATATTATTATTATTATTATTATTATTATTATTATTATTATTATTATTATTATTATATTATTATTATTATTATTATTATGCTTTTACTACTCTTATTGCTATGCTATTGTCTGCTCATGTGTATCTGAAAGTACCCTTGCACCCCAATCCCTCGGTCCCGCTGCCAGGGAACACGGCCATCCCGGAAGAGCGGCGATCCAGGCACTGACAACGTGAAGGGTTTGGGTGTAGGGTTTAGGGTTTAGGGTTTAGGGTTTAGGGTAATAGAAAGGGGAAGGAAGTCTAATGAGGCAGGGTTTGCAGAGATCACAATGCACTATCCTTAAAGCCCATCGAGACACTGGCTTGTTTTATGAATCAGAGGACACTGTGTCGCAACCAGTCAAGTCGCTCGCTACGTTCAAGACAAAATTGAAGCCAAAGGTTGGAATTAGATAAGAAAGGGGTCAAGCTGAATTTCTCGGCTGCGCAGTTGCCACGTCATGCACGACGTATTATTGCCTCAGAGGGTCAAGATGGGATAGATGGACAAGTGCCATGGGGGTACAAGGCTGCTTCAATGCTTGGCACCCTCAGACGATGGCTTTTGCTAAATCCTTGTACCTCTCCCTGTTTCGTCACATATAAGCATCGTATAAGACTCAGGTCTCGAGGACACGGCTTGACCGAGAATCCATCCAACCGAGATGGGAGTTTAGGGTTTAGAGTTTAGGGTTTGGGTTTAGTGTTCCCCAAATAGAACCCAATCAGAAGACATCCACCGATCGACCCATGGAATCTTGGGGTCTGGGGCTTGAGCTTCCAGGCTCCCTCGACGACGATTTCTGCCGCAGCATCTGCCGCGAAGAGCCCCGGCTCACTGGAGTTTGTTCTTCCTGGGGCAACAGGATAAGATCAGATCCTCTATGATAAGCCTCTATGCGTGAAAGTTGCTATGGGGCGTCACTGAGAAGAAGGCTCACGCGCCTTTTTCATGAGCCAAATGTCACCCGCCACACTTTTCCGCTCTGAATGCCGCGAGGATTTTCGGTCCAAGTCACCCGAGCCCCTGGTCTTAGCCATGACGAGTAGTCGGTGCAGGGCTTCATAGGGCTTTGGGTTGTGGGTTTAGGGTGTAGGGTTTAGGGTGTTTAGGGTTTATAGGGTTTAGGGTTTTACATCCCACAGCCTTCACCTCAGAATCTTGGTGGCCGAAAAGGAAGCTTGCAAGGCCTTTTCGTCCACATGGCTCCCAAATTTTTTCGTCCTCAAGGAACCTCATCATCTCGGCTCCACAAGCTTATGAGTATGTACTCGTACTATCGAGCTTCGAGAAGCCATGAACCTTAAAACGTTCATTGATTTTTCGCAGAGGAGGTCAGATTGTGATAAGCCAGACAGAGGGTTTCGGGTTCAGGGTTTAGGGTTTAGGGTTTAGCTTCAGCTTCCCAAGACCAAAACCATCCTAAACGGCCGCCTCAATGAGGGGGCGTTGAAACCGAGGAAGCGTCATGCACCCATTGGGCTGTGGTGAGCGGCAAATGCTACTCCTACAGCCCTCGCCTCATTCGGGCTCCCAGTTCTGACCATCATTTGTTTGGGGTTTGGGGTTTAGGGCGCAGTGTCCAACTCCTTCGAAGCCTATAGTTCAATCCTGAATAGCGTGGTCCTGGAATTGTGGTTTTGTTCGGATATTTTTCATGATCCACTCATCAGTTATATAGGGATCCTCTTGTGATTTGGCGGTGGCGTTGCAGTTGAGATGACCAGAATGAAACACTCGGTGGGCGCAGCGGTCGAGTCTGCCGATGGTTGTTGGTGCCCCGTTTATGATAGTTATTTGCATTGTGGACTGCCATGGGAACCATGTGGGCATGTAGGCCGGGTGGTACTTCACTTCCAAAACCTGCTGCCGCATGTCGCCTTTATATTGTTCTCAGTTTGCTTTAGTGGCGCCCACAGAAGTACTGTAGGAGCGAACTGGGGCCCTAAGCAGGTTGTTGAGCTTGTTCACGGTTTGCGCAGGGGCTTGGGTGCAGGACTTATCATTTATGGTTTGGGTTCGAGGGATGAGGGTTCTCCAGTCCAACGCCCTGAGCTGTGCTCTCAACGATTGTGCATCGGGGAGTTGCATCTTAGTGCGAGGTGGCGTTTGCACGAGCGCTGTCGTTAACGACAATGCCTGCGCTCACAAACGCGCGTCGGGCTCAGAGTGGATATCTCAGAGCTTTGCTACCCATAAACCCTATACACCCAAAATCCCTGAAGCGCGCCTCACATATCTGCAGCTGTACCGATGGATGTTGATGGTCTTGGATTTCTGGATAACTTGCACGCGTTTGCTGTAGCTTGTGATTCTTGAGGTTACGGTCACAGAGCGCTACCCTGGCTGTGGCGAGCGCCACAGCTGCCTCGATATCCAGCTGCTGCCCAAGTCTTGCCCAGCCGTTAAACTGCGTTGTCCCTCATCGCCCGTCTTGTAGAATTTACGGGCTTTGGGTTTTGGGATTTGGGTTTTTGTATGTCGCGGTGTGGACTTTTGGGATGCTAGAATGCAGAGTTTCGTGCAGGTGTATGACTTTCGAGGTGGCTCGGGTCTCACGACCCCCTTGGCCGTCCTATCTGGGGTTTCCTTCTAGGGCCCAGGCCTTGCCTGAGCTGCAAACGCGGCTGTCAGCCGCAACACAAACCCTGAAACCTAAACTCAGCCCCCCAGGTCAGATCGCCCCCCCCCCCCAACCCCCTACATCTGCAAGGCTGCCGGGTTACCACTACATCTCCGGCAAGTACTGTCCCAACGGGGCAGCTTGAGCTGCACATAGGTTCTCTGCCCTTTTCTGGGGAATACCCCATCAACAGGGGGCACTGCAATCGGAAACCCCCAACAAGACCAGAGTTGAGAGGAGATAGAGAGAGAGAGAGAGAGACCACTTGATTGGATTCTGATTGGAGGCTTCGGGCTCTTTAGCCCGATTGAAGCTGGGAATTCTGAAGCTTGATTTGACGGTTTCCGAAATAGGGGGGGGGGGGGGGGGTTCCTGTTTGGGGCGGTTCCTATACTTCATAAGGATTGTAGTATCTGGGGTTATATTAGGGTTCCCAGTTTGGGGAAATGCCCATTTCGCGGTCCTGGAATCTCCTTGCAAGGCAGGCGAGAAGTCGAAGGGTTTAGGGTTTCGGGTTTCGGGTTTAAGACCCGAAGGCTCAAACCTATCCTACCTTCGACAACCCGACCATCACACATCAGCTGCCGCTACTAGGACCACTAGGACCCAGACTAGGCCGTTCTTCCGTTTTTGTAGGGCTTCGGTTCCTTTGAAAGCCCCTTGTAAACCAAAAAGGGCACTTTGTTTTATTCCAGGTTACTCTTCGGTCTAGGCTAGCGGACTCTGACTCACACACACCTGACCTCAACCCCAAAAACCTAAAACCCTGAAACCCTAAACCCTAAACCCTAAGCCCTGGCCCTCAGCCGCCAACGCTTCTTAGGAGAATGCGGACAGAGACCCGAACCTCGGCCCAGTGCCCTGCCCAAACTCAAGGGTTGGATATCTGTTTGGGTTCGGGGCTTCAGGCAGTTGAGGACTTCGACACATGGGATTAGGGTTGAAGGGTTTACGGCGAAGTTTACGATTTAGGGTTGAATGATTCGGGCCCCACACACACACCGCTGCGCCCCGGTTTTTGAAGCGGGTGTCTCCACAGGGCCCGAAAGGCTTCGATGACCTGCATGTAATTGCTTTTGGGGGCCTGCATAGACCTCTATGTACATTTGCGTACACGCTTTTGCAGTAGCTGCTAAAAGTCTGGTGTTTATTCTTGTCTTTGTCTTCCTTCATTCTCGTATGTGCGTATGCGCAGACTGATGATGTGTCGAGGGGAGTTCGGCACGCAGTCCACACACCAGACGTCGGCTCACCCCGAGATGCCAAAGACCCACCCCCCACCCCCACCCCCAAAAATCCCTAAACCCTAAACCCTAAACCCTGGGGTTTAGGGTTTCGGGTTTGGGGTTTCGGGCCACCCAGAAGATCCGACACCGAGATTGTAAACCTGCAGTGCACACAGACCATCACGGAGGAAGCCAGGGAGTTGTGGCGTTTTAGACAACAGCCCCCTAAACCCTAAACCCTCAACCCTCTTCACTGAAGCCACACAGGTGTACTTCAAGACGGGCTTGACGATCGAGGCATGTTCAGCTTTCTAATTCGGCCTTCAGCCCTTAGAGAGAGTTAAACTTGGCCCTGGGATTTTCGGAGTTTCGGAGTTGGTGAGTCAGAGTTCATGGCTTTAGGGTGTGTGAGGACTTCATTCTGAGGAGGTCGCTGCGTTTGAGGGCAGAGTTGCTGGCTTTTGTCGTGCGTCGTGCTGCTTGCTCCTTGCAGCGACATGTTCACACACCGACCTTTCGAAGTTTCCAGCTTTCCTGACCATCAAGGCTCGCTCGACCCAATCGCTATGCTCCTACAAAACTGAACCTGAGCCCATGAGGTCCCTGTCACTTGTGACCTCTTGTGACCCTAAACCCTGAACCCTGAACCCTAAGCCCTAAACCCTAAACCCTAAACCCTAAACCCTAAACCCTAAACCCTAAACCCACCCATGCCATCTGCAGGAAAGCTTCTGGCTGGCAAGGCTCAACGATCACCTCTGCATGTGGGCGATCATGAAGCCCAATCCATCGCAGGCAGGGGGGGCCTTTAGGGCTTATGGGCCCTTTGGGTTTAGGGTTTACGGTTTAGGGTTTAGGGTTTAGGGTTAAGGGTTAAGAGTTAAGGGTTAAGGTTTAGAGAACTTTACGTGTCTCAGAGCCTAGGGGCCAAGGGAGAAGTGGGAGACAAACAGGGAGGCTTCATCTTGTATATTGTTTCGGCTTGCTCCTTCTCATGCGCGTTGCGCGTGGGTCCTGCTGAAGGACTATGAGAATGGGACCTCAGCCTATGTAGAACTCCACGGAGACAGAGTTGCTTGCCTCACCGGAGTCGTCGACCTCGTCACTGCCTCCCAGCTGCATCGCCTCAGAGGGCTCCATGTCGAGTTTTCAGTTGGGCTTTCCATTGCCCTGTTCTGCACTCTTTGCAGACTCCGGGTTCAGGGGTTTGGGGTTTAGGGTTTAGGGTTTAGGGTTTAGGGTTTAGGGTTGAGGGTTTAGGAGTCTCAAGACATGAGCCACGCTTGCAGATGGACCCAGCTCACAAACTCGCCAAAGCCCGGTTCTGAGGATATCTTCGGAAGCGTGCAGAAGGACCTCAGCGTGCACCAGCCAGAGTTTGTCAGATGTCTATGGAGCAGCTTGAACAACCTTAAACCCTAAACTGCCTAAACTCTAAACCCTAAACCCTGACTTGAAAATGCTCTTCTGTTCCTGGTCATCTGTTGGCTGAAGCTTGCGATCTAGGGCTGTTTCTCAGCTTCCACACAGGAGGGCACAGCCATTGAAAGATACCCAAATAGGGGGGGGGGGGGGGGGGGGGGGAGTTTTTCCCACATTTGACAGAGGCGCGATGAAAGGTTGAACGATGCCAGTCGAGATGGGGTTCACTTCGACTGAACAGCCTCTTCTGCACCATCGTGCAGGGGCGGTGTTTGTTTCGGCCGCTGCCGCCGCTGCCGCCGCTGCTGCCGCTGCTGCCGCTGCTGCCGCTGCTGCCGCTGCTGCCGCTGCTGCCGCTGCTGCCGCTGCTGCCGCTGCTGCCGCTGCTGCCGCTGCTGCCGCTGCTGCCGCTGCTGCCGCTGCTGCCGCTGCTGCTGCTGCTGCTGCTGCTGCTGCTGCTGCTGCTGCTGCTGCTGCTGCTGCTGCTGCTGCTGCTGCTGCTGCTGCTGCCGCCGCCGCTGCATCTGCCGCTGCCGCTGCCGCTGCCGCTGCCGCTGCCGCCGCTACTGCTGCTGCTACTGCTATACTAATACTCTTACTACTCCTAAGCGCTCCCAATCCCACTCCCACGCCCACTCCCGCTCTTACTACTCCTACGCACTCCCACTCCCACTCCCACTCCCACGCCCACGCCCACGCCCACGCCCACGCCCACGCCCACGCCCACTCCCACTCCCACTCCCACCCCTCCTTCTCCCACTCCCACTCCTCCTTCTCCCACTCCCACTCCTCCTTCTCCCACTCCCACTCCTCCTTCTCCCACTCCCACTCCTCCTTCTCCCACTCCCACTCCTCCTTCTCCCACTCCCACTCCTCCTTCTCCCATTCCCACTCCTCCTTCTCCCATTCCCACTCCTACTCCCACTCCCGGCACTATCCCGATATAACGGAGAACGTCCCAGCAGTAGCGATTTCCATACTTACAAGAACTTTGCCCTTCTGCCCCATGCTCGCAACGCATTTCGACGAGCTCGCAATGTTCCCGGTTGCATCCTCGACCCCTGCGCGGGAGTGCCCTGGCGAGTTTTGGTATTGCGACTAGTACTGCTGTTATTTCCAGTATTCTTTGCTAGTAGTGCTTGGTACTACTAACCTTTTTTTGCTCCTACTATTCTTGTTGTTCGTCCCTGCTACTACTACGACGACCGCGACCACCACTATAGGGTTTCTTTCGTCCAATGCGTCAGAAAATCGACCTTGATAATTCAGCTTTTTGTTGCCGAAACGCATAGGTACCCTTAACTTGAAGTCCTACGTAAAACCCCTCAGCTTTGACCGAGCCAGGTGACGGGGCTACCCAAAGCTGTTGCAGGAGATCCGCTGGGATGCTTTTCATGTGTTGGTATGTTGCAATGTGCTTGGAGCTCAGGTTTAGGACAGCAACGGAATGCACTTGCAAAAGATGGTGAGCTCACCCGTCCTCAGACAGAGCCCTAGAAAGCCCCCGATGCCGACACCGACAATACATCAGCAACGCCCCATCGGGCGCATTCCCCTTCTGAGCCCGTACTCAACACAAATCCACTGCTCGAAAATCTACGTCAGCAGTGTTGAAGTCAGCGTTTGTCATACATGCCCGATGGAACGTGCTTGCTTGCAGAGCCAGCCGCTACAAACTCTTCGTTTATGACTAGCCGCAGCCATGACTCTTACGTGCGTCTGGGCGTGACCCTGTGAAGCATTCAACCTGCCATGAGTGAATTCTTTTGCCGACTCTGGTAGTTACTAGTCTTTGCTTCTGGCACGTTTCTCTGGGGACAGCTGTTCTGACAGGCGCCACGGGCAAAGTGGCAGCACCGGGCTGCGTGTCGCGGCTTGGCTTTCTTTAACCCTAAAGTGGGATGTTCTCCCCTTATACTACCAGTCCTTAAGCACCCCTAGTAGAATCCCGATTAAGGACTCTTAGTATGGATGGGAACCCCCAAAACCCAAACCCCTGAGCCTTAAACCCGGGTGTGGGGGTTTTGTGACTTTGCGGAGGGTTGCGGATTTGCTTGTAAGGGGTTTGGGTCGTTTGGGGGGGGGGGGGGGGGGGTTTGAAGGGGCCTGTGGGCCAATTCTCTTTGGGAGTGTTGCATGAACTCATGTTGTCTAATATTGGTGTTTTATTTCCTGGAGTTACACCGAGTTCCCTAGCAAAGAAGCAAGGAAACCAAGGAAAGAAAAGAGAAAGAAGGAAGACCATAAGGAAGGGAGGAATGCAGGAAGTATAGATGTACACCACCTGGTTCGCAAGTCTTCCACAGATCCACGCGGGCCTGAAGAATTGGAATCACAACGTGCTGTCGTACGCAATACGACGGCGGGAATAAACATGCACCAGCTCCATGTGTCCCATTTCCGGACATTGCGACGCTCTTCGTTTCGTTCGCCAACATATTGTGCCGCAGGCTGCAGGGAGCCATTCCGTGGAAGGTTATTGTTTAGGTGCATCTGACCTGGCAGATACAAAGTGCACTGTAGCTGTCAGCGCTTGGCAATGTTTGCGGCCGCTACTCACGTACAAAGCCCGGCAGGTCAAGACTACAATGCTTCGTTGTACAAGAGAAGCTGTTCGCCCTACACCTTGAGACCTTGAATTACCCAGGAGGATTACACACCTTAACCCTAAGCCCAAACCCTAAACCCTAAACCCTAAACCCTAAAACCCTTGGACTCAAAGCTCTTAATCCCCAAAGCATCCTCAGGCCCAATGTCACCGTGGACGACAGCGAAGATGAAGACGAAGACGAAAACGAGCAAAGTGTAATGCCACTGGTGCCACTGGGGAGGATCCAGGGGTTCAGGATTTAGGTGCCGGGTTTGTAGCTTTTCGGGCTTCGGGGAGGCGGAGGTTTCTGGGTTCAGAAGGGGTTCAGGGTGTAAGGTTCAGAGGGTGTAGGGGAGCTTATTGAACCTTTGTTTTTGGAACTTATCAGCGCTCGAGGTTTCGAGCCAGTAAGGATTCGATGTTGAATGGAAAACAAATACGTTTTGAGATCCCTATAGTCAGGCAGCAAGTTGCAGAGTCCGGGTGTTCCCCCTTATACTAGTCCTGAAAAGGGATTATCATAAGACCCTAAACCCTAAACCCTAAACCCTAAACCCTAAACCCTAAACCCTAAACCCTAAACCCTAGGGGCATTACAATCCCTATTAAGGATTGTTAGTATAAGGGGGAACATCCCAACCCACCATTGTAGCCTGAGCTCCACGCATGGGCTCCGAAGCCTTATTGATCCCTAACACGACGTCCCCCCGCGCTGAGCTCTTATGGTTTAGGGTTTAGGGTTTAGGGTTTAGGGTTTAGGGGTTTAGGGTTTAGGGTTTAGGGTTTAGGGTCACCGCGTTGAGAGGTGCTGGACGACCCAGCATCGGACCAACCGGACGACCATTGGCTTCATCCGTGCGAATGCGTTCCTCTGCTCCAATGCGAAATGCGGAACCGCTGGGCTTTTCTGTGTTGGGTGCAAAGTCCGGGCCTTTGTTTTGAGCTCAGTAAGTCGTGTAGGATTGTGACGACACGGACAGCGAGAAGGGTTGCACAACTCCGAGTTTAGGGGCTACGGGTAGCATTGCGCGCTGGGCAAGACTTCAGGCGACTACTCGTAGTACCAAACTAGTGACACAGGGTCACTGTACGAAGGTGGGCATGCAAGCTCCACGGTTGTTCGGGCTGAACCAGAAGTCATCGCATGTCATGCCGCTGTGCGTTGTCAAGGCTTTCCTTGTTTGCGGAAGCGAGCTTTTTGCGATGTCACATGAAATCTTGAGTCACCAAAGAGCGGAAGAAGCAGTCGAAGCTCGAGATACTAAACCAGGCGCAACAGGCAAACCTCCGTGATTTGAGCTAGTTGATGTGATAGAGTCTGATAGAGTTGAGAATGGGAAGGACGATTTGCAGAAAGGGAACTGGCTGAGCGAAAACGAACGCAGAGTCATGTTGCACATAGCCACCTGCCGCGCGCAAGCTTTGGACACATGCCGTATCCAAAAACCAGCCCCGCCGGCTCCCTAGTCCCCCTGGTTCCCAGTAGGGAATAAGGGAATTAGGGCTAGCTATGCATATATATATATATATATATATATATATTTATTTATATTTATTTATTTATATTTATTTATATGTATATTTATACAGTATTTATCAATATATGTGTATATGTTTTATATGTATATACACACTTTGCCTTTAAGGGATAATGTAGGGGACTCCTTCTTTCATTCCTTACTAAGAACCAGCCAGCAATTCCAGTGCTGCGACTCCTCCACCGAGGTGCCTCCCGACTGGGGTCCTTTGCCGCCTGTCAATGGCATCCTGGCAGTTGAGGGGAAGCGGAAAAATTTCGGGGGGGGGGGGGGGGGGGGAGAAGTGACAAAAAGCGGTTCTTCCCAGTACCAGTACGAGTATGGGGTGTGAGTCGTAGTAGTCGTCACCATCACAGTAGTCGTCGTCGGAGAAGTATCGAATAGCTTGTGTCCCAATCACCCCCGCGTGGCAACACGTCGCAGCAACTAGCACCTCTCCTTGACACGTCTGCCGACTTTGTGTTGTTGCCTTTCGCACACTCGACAAGTGGGGTTCAGGACAGCAAACAGGTACAGCTTTCAAGCAATTCAAAGCAAAGCGTTCCCTTTTCAACACCACCCTTGAATCCTTGCAACTAGGTTTTATGGGCTTTGGGGATGTTCGAAGTGGTAATTTTGAGGGAGGGGGAGGGGCTTTAGGACGGAGCTTGGGAGTTGTGATCCGCATCGGGGTGATTCAATTGCATTCTAGGTCATGGAGTGCTGGCACTGAATGCGCTCGCCTCCGGAATGCCTTAAGCTTAGGTCAGGTCCTGTCGGACATCCCTGCCGGCAGTGGCAACAGTTTCATGCCTGGTCCCACACTGATTGCCGAGGACTTAGTCTGCCTGCCTGGGTGATAGAGGTACTCTCGAGGTACTGTAAGAAGCATAAAAGAGACAAGTACGCATCGGCACTATGCCCCAACTGGGAAAGAAGGCTGTTGCCACCGGTGGCATGCGTGAGCTCACCACTGCCGCGTTCAACAAATCCAGACCCCAGAGCCCTCACCACGTTCGTTGCAACACCAACCCCCCTGTGATGTTCTTTTGTGAGCACGGCGGCCCTACTACAGGGTCCGAATAATTCCGAATGATTTTGCCTTATGGTCCCTTTGTATTTAGACTGTAATAACCCCCCAGATCCTGCTGTGATTTTTCATGCCCCTATATTGCTTATGAGTCTGCCGGGGACTCCTTAGGACGCAGAACACCGTAGACCAGAGTTGGCGCTCCAAGCGTGCTACACAGCGGTGCACCAATATCTATCATCCCTAGAGAGTAAATGTGGGGCGGAGGAGGGGGGGTTGGGGGGTGGGGAGCTTTTGGTTTCGGCTGGGCACATGGATCTTCTTATTTTGAGCCTGGGAAGAGTTCTAACCTTGCCATAGCTCAATCGGCCTTTTGCCGTCTGCCTTTCTTAGCAGTCACAGCTAATTTGCGTCGGCTGCCTGAGGTTCGCGCCATTGACATTGCCATCGTACATACCATTCTTTCCAACCTCCATTCCAAGGTTGTTCAACGGCCCTTGACGCTGGTCTGGGATGCGCAGTCGATATACGTGATGATCTCGTCTCGTTTCCAGCTGCAGGCTTTGTTGATGACATGGTGCTTTTGGCAGAGAATTCCGACGCATCTCAAAAAGCATTAGACGAAGCCACCCACTGGGCTCGCAGCATACGCATGTCTTTCAACTTGGGAACGGACAAGTCAGCCTGCTTCGCCTCCCTTCCCTTTCACGTGCCCATGGCCGACCTACTCCTTGATGGCCAGCCCTTGCCTCATGTTCACGAGTATCGTTACTTGGGTGCCTTGCTCACGGCTCCAGATTCCGTCCTCCTTCCTCGGCAAAGTCTGGAAACTGTACGTATGTTGTGTTGAACCTACCATGTGGTGGCTTCTTGCAGCGGTACCTCTGACGTCCCAATCTGCTCTTTTGCTCAGGCTTTTTGTGGTGGGCAAGGGTTGCGTGGCAGAGATGGGAACCATTGGCAAGCTGCTTAAAGCCAGAACTACTGCATATATTGCCTTTGGCATGGACGTAAAAGCTGCGGAAACCCTGCGGCACTTCTTGTTGGTATGCCCACTCACGTCCTACGCGAACGCTGGTTTGCCCGATGTGATTTTGGCCAACTTGGCCCGTCCCCTGCCTCTCATAGGAAGGCTCTCATTCGAGCGGTGAGTAGGAAATGGAAGTTATGCAAATCATGGCTCCGTGAGACACAACTGAACAAGCCATCCATAAGAGATGCGTTGTTGGCCTAGAGCTGGTCATGAGTTGTGCCCTCAGATTTGTTTCTACTAGCTGTAGCTTCTGCTGGCTGCCCGCTGAAGCGCTATTGCTTCAGACTGACAGTTTGCAGTGAGCTCAAAGACGCTCACCGAACTTAAAAAAAGTGTATGTATACATATATAGAGAAGGGGATGATTCGCAAAAGCTTAGACCCCTTGTTTTGTCTGATTCCAGGGCTTACTCCATGAGCTGCGGCCCGCAACGCGGCGCCTTGTGCCTCAAACCCCAAGCCCTAAACCCTATATAACATATGTACTGTTATGTTTAGATACTAAAGATAATGTTAAGGCCTGCACCGTGCTACGGGGGCCCACTCTCCCCCCACAGGTTGTAATGTGCATCATGCCATGCGGTTTCTCATCTTGCCAAAAATTGGCTTCCCATCGACCTGAGGTTTCATATGGTGGTTTTTCACAAAATAGGACCCCTAACATGGTCCCCAAATAGTAGGTTTCCCTTCTAATCAGGAAGCCAAAAAGGCCCCCATATGGGGTGGGGACCAGTGCAAGGCATACATGCAGCCTACATGTACCCATACCTTTCGCTGAACTTGAGGCTGTTCGGCTACTTTGCCTGTTTGTGCTCAGACGCCAGTGCAGGTGGGCGGCCAGTTTGCGTGTGAGCAGGAGCATCCTGGCAGGATTACTGGCAGGCTTCGGATATCCAGGCATCTAAACCTAAACCCGGCCGACTCTGATGTCGACCTAGCTAACCCGGACCCCGCAGCAACCTGTTGATCTTCCGCTAGCTTGTCCCACAGGTCGGGGGTTTACGAAAATAGGGGACCCAGTAGGCCCCCATGTGTGGCTATGTGTGAACGCACGCTCAGGCACCTTACCAGCGTTATCATGGAGGATCCGGAAAGCGACGGCTTTGCTGAGGGCTACTGCCACACACAGTGCGCCACAAGCAATTGCAACTTCTACTGGGAAGGCCAGGAGGTCAAAGTGAAAAGCAAAGCGAATATGTTGAATTCTACATTTGTTCTACGTCATTCTACATTTGTTCTAGATCACATTTACTACGTTATTATCTTAGTATAGTAGCTGAAGTTATGTTATGAATGTCAACGAATGTTCTGACCACATGCCTTCAAGCGTTTCGCATGCTTGACAAGTTTCGATCATTTTGTCGCAGTCGCAAGCATCGCAATGTTTGCCAAGCAGATTCGGCGGCTTGTTTTGTGATGTCTCGTGTTTGTGCGTCGTTGCGTTTGTCTCGGTCTTTCTAGCCTTTGTACTAAACGTACACGTGCAGTCACAGATGGTCAGCTATGGGCAGAAACACACATCAAGACACATGAGGCTCTTAAGTTGGGATATTCCCCCTTATACCCACAGTCCTTGATGGGGATTGTAGTAGGGGGTACTGGGGGTACTATGATCCCTGTTAAGGACTGCCACTATAAGGGGTAAATCCCAACACTTAAAGCGTCAAAACCTGCGGGCAGGCGAAGTCTTGTCGAGCACACAGTGTCGGCTCTACAGCCAATGCAAGGAACTGGCGTGGCGCCCCAGGGACCTTCGGGGGTTTAGAGTTTGGGGTTTAGGGTCTAAGACTCGAGTCGAGAAAATCTCGGTCCATTCGCATATTGCGCATGTAGATTCTGCGCGGTGGACGTGGTCATGGAACCCTGAGCCTTTTGAAGTGACAGCCATGAACTCTGGACTGTCAAAGTCCAAAACCACCGTAAGTTTCGGTGAATGTCATCTTCAGGCCATGTAAGTTTCAGGGTAAGGGGCTATGCGTGTGCAAGAGCCTGTGCCATGAGCTCCCCTGTTTTGCTTTGCCCCTCATGTCTGTTTCAGAGAGTTTGCCCTCGAACGCCCGCAACGGTTGACAGACCTCCCGACGCGTGACTCCGACCATTGAGCCAGCCCCAGACCCTAGACCCTAAACCCCTAAACCCATAAACCCCTAACCCCCTAAACCCCTAAACCCCTAAACCCTAAACCCCTAGACCCTAAACCCTAAACCCGTACTTCCCCTCACAGCCCAGGTGCGCGAGGTCGGTATTGTGGGCAATCTCTATGGGATGCCACGCAGCCGCAACCTGAAGTTCACGGAGCTTAGCGCAGGGCTGTGCAGTTTAGGGCTTTAGGGAGCACGTCAGCCCAACACGCCAGAAAGCGAAGGAAGAGGCAGCAGGTGATGACCGGCAGAAGCTGGATTTTGGGTCCACCCCTTTTCTACGTTTCTCGACAAGGCCCAGGGCCCCCTGCGCGCCCCCGCACGTGTTCCCTTGTTTCCAGTTGGTCAGGGGCGCTGCTCACTGATTTTTATCCACTCTATCCACTGGCCTCGCGGGGCCCTTGGTTAAAACTTTACCGTGAGAAGGGTATGCGAAGCACACTGCAGGGTAAGTAAAGTACGGACAGGAATAAGTCTCGAAACCTGCGGAGAACAGCCCCAAGAGACATGGACCGAGGGACCTGTTGCGGAGACGGAAGACAAACCATACTTAGCAGGGGTTAGGGTTTAGGGTTTAGGGTTTAGGGTGTAGGGTTTAGGGTTTAGGGTTTAGGGAGTGAAGTCAGCACATACCCAGCTTGCTCGCTCTGTGGTTCTCTTCGCGCCCCACTTCCACCGACCTTCACGGATGAAGCTCACTAGTTAATCCTGGAGCGGAACCTGCATAGTACTTGTGCAGTATGCGCTCAGAACCAAACCTCAGCATGCACCGCATCGCAAGTCCCAGTGTCAAGTTCCGCTCCACCTCTGGCCGAGAACCAACCTCTGCAGGACAATGCCGCGTGCCAAAGGCTCCAAACAAGAGCTGTGCGTAACCAACAAAAGCAGCCAACCGCGTCATGCAGCTGCCTGAATACTCGGCCTCTGCAGCGCGGCGCAGTCATCCTCGCGAGTATTCCTATCACGCCGAGCAGCATGCCCTAATAGCGTCGACACAGCTTCTGGTAGCCGGGTTCTCGCTGAAATCTTGCATTGCTGGACAGGGAGCAGGTCGGGAAGGCCCTATTCTGGAGCCCACTGAGGAAGCCGTCCATGTAACGCTGGAAAAAGCGGTGCCAGGGGGGGGGGGGGGGGGCGGGAGACGTGCCTCTGCCCCATGGGCTGACGACGCTGAGGCACCCGGAACGCTCATGCTCGCCGGATCCGAATGCCTCGTAGGACGCACTAAACCGTCAACATGCGGTGAGTTCACAAAAAGAATCAAAAAGCCTTCCTTTCCAATTTTTTAAGAAAGGCACGCGAACAAGGATAGAATATCAACTTCATGCGTTCGTTATAAACACCAATGCGGCGCTACTCGTAGTACAGCGCTAGCTTCGCGCTGGCACACAGTCTAAAAAGGGTGGGAATGCTTGAACAGAATTAAGGTAAGCATGCAGGCATTTCGCGCTAAGTTAGCATTGTAACATCTGCCATGGATGGTCACCTGTGGGAAGAGCACAGCTCAAGAATGATGGCCGTGTAGACAAGGCATTGTTCCCAACCACCAGTTTTCGAGCCGAGAAGGAGGGGTTGGGAACGGGCTGGCCTCCCCATTTCGAATCATACTTTTGGCATGCTCGGCGGCTGGAAAGTACCATGCCAGCGAAGCGCGGTGTTGGCGCGATGAGGGGCGCTAACACGGTGCTAGTACGGCGCTAACAATCTGTGCACGAACCTGGGGTTTCCAAACACCCGCTCAACAGACGCAGGCCTGAAGGTTTCCGCAAATCCCAAGCTTTCCTCGACCTTCAAACTCCAACCTCAACCCAATTTTCCCCTATTGTTCACTCATGTTGGCCATGGGTGGGGTTTAATGCTAACTTTACCTGCTTGACTGTGGAAACCCAACGTCAACTCCTAAACGTCTTTTGCAGAATAACTCTGCTTTATACAGTGTTGAAGAGGTTCGCCAGCGTGTTTGCTAGGAAAACGTGGGTTTCAGATGCGAGTATGCTACTTGCATCTGCTGTATCGACTCTTTTTTGTTATATTGGACATGAGGAGGCCCCCCAACGACACGCATTCCACGACACATTTTGGATGAAGAGCATGTTGAGAAAGCTCCGCTTGAAACTCCGAGGACCTACAGCAAGGTGTGCAAGGTTGCGGACCCTGCCTTGCTCCTCGGCGGTGCAACCGCACGATGGCTGTTGAGGGTTTAGGGTTGAGGGTTAGGGTTTAGGGTTTAGGGTTTAGGGTTTAGGGTTTAGGGTTTAGGGTTTAGGGTTTAGGGTTTAGGGTTTAGGGTTTAGGGTTTAGGGTTTAGGGTTTAGGGTTTAGGGTTTAAGGTTTAGGGTTTAGGGTTTAGGGTTTAGGGTTTAGGGGTGTTTCAAAGCCGAGAAAATCCTGAGAGGCTGTTGAGCCTGAAGTTGTTCAGGCCCATGTGGGAGCTCCTAAGACTTAGAATGCCTTTTGCATGTGTGTGACTGCTTCAAGGGCGCTACATCCTCAACCCTAACCCCTAAACCCATCCTACACTCTTGAAACCCTGTAGAATCACCTTAAACCCTAAAACCTAAACCCTTCAAGGGACTGTGAGGTGCTGGAAAGTTACCAAGCGCCGCTCCTTCCTGGGCGCCGGCGACGACACGTACTCGTGCCTCTTTCAGGACATTGAAGCAGGGTATCTATTTCTGTTTTTAATGAGTGTATATAAGGTTCCTTTTTAAAATTGGTGAGTGTATATACCTGGTGTCATTTTGGGGGGTACAAGAAATATATACCCTGCTTCACATGAAGTCTTGGTAGCCCAGTGGTACCCTTTACCCTTTTTTTGGGTTCACGGTTCACTTATAAAAGAACCAACCCAAAAATGGGTGCCCTTGTTGTAATATGGTTACTGGGCTACTAAGAAGTGGGGTTCGTATTGTTGTTGGTTGTGAAGTGTATATAGGGTTTAGGGGATGGTTTATCTTGCTGCTATTTGTTGAATTTTGAATGTTGAGGCGGGCATTGGTTCCGTGAGTAGTTTTGAATGGTGAAGCGTGCACGGGTTGCGAAGTTTTGCACATAGCTTTTGCTTGGCTTTAGGCGTGCAGCGATTGCGAAACTGATCGAGGTAAACCGACCGAGCAGCCCAAACCATCTGTGCAAAACCATGGAAGAAAGCCAAAGGTGGATGTAGCACGATGCGCCACGAAACCACGAAAGCGTGCTTGTGAAAACAAAGGTCTATGCAAAATGATGATGCAACCTAACCATAGATCTAGTTGTACATGCTTTTGCATTTGGTATTTTGTCTTGCACGTGTTTTTGCTAAGAAGCTTGAAGGAATCAGCCCACATACATATACATGTGAACCCTTTTTGTTTGCGTACCGGGAATGTTCTGAATTGAGTCCCTAACCCTAAACCCTAAACCCTAAACCCTAAACCCTGTGGGGCTCTCTTCGGTTTGGGTTTTTGGGCTCAGGGCCCTCTTAGGGCCCTGGGCAGGGGAGTGGGCAGGGCTTGACGGGTTGGAGGGTGGGAGGGCTCAGGCTGTGGGTTCTTCATGTTCAGGGCCCGGCAGGCCTGCAGATACTACAGCCGCAAGCAATGACGAGGGGCATTATGTTGAGGTGGGTTCCCTAAACCCTACACTCCTGAAGGCCCTAAACCCTAAACCCTTCATCGCTCGCAGTCCCACTTCGGAAGGATCTGGTGCAGCAATGCGATCACAAGCTCATGCTGGGTGGCCTCGGCGTCGAAAGTTGCGGACAGTGTGAGTATGCAGCTCGGCAATGAAGAGCGGTCAGCATGCTGGCAATGTAGCTTCGATGGAATGCACCACAATGGACGCTCGGGGTTTATTTGTAGGTAGCTTATCGCATACATACACTGTACCTAACTACCAGCCAAAACTCTCTACTGTTCCGATTCTGTTGACGGTACCGGCTGTCACTTCCAGAGACCGAGGTTAAGGGTCCAGGAAGCCCTCTTTCACGGTAAAGCAGCAGGTTAGGAGCAGGCTGGGGCGGGGGGTAGGGGTGGTGGGCATGGGAAGGGAGAAACCCTAAACCCTAAACCAACCCTTGGCAATTAGGGGTCTTCGTCGTCACGGAGCAAGAAGACACCACTGCCAGCAAGCTTCGAGCACGGCCAGAGCCTTCGAGCGTCCTGCAACTGGGCCTCAAAGGGTTTAGGGTTTAGGGTTTAGGGTTTAGGTAGTAGGGTTTAGGTAGTAGGGTTTAGGGTGTAGGGTTTAGGGTTTAGGGTTAGGCCAATTCTATCAAAATGCCTTAAGGGTTTAGGTTTTTTTGGCCTTTTGCTCACCGTCCTCTGTGCGCACAGCTGGTCCTTCAATCGGAGATTGGCCAGTGAGGAAATTTCGTATCTGCTCAGTTCCTAGGATTGCCATCTTCGTATAACGGATGCTCCTACACCAGATGTTGTATATGTTGCTAGGTACGCCCTTTTGAATGTTTCAGGATCATGTTTAGGATTTTTTTCAAACTGTTCTAAGGGCTAGCCTGGTTCGGGAGAGGGGAGTATCACGAATATGTGGAACTCTGCCTTGTGCAAGGTTGGGCGGAGCGCTTCACCAGCGGGTTAGCTGTCACTGCTCAAGCTCCTCGGGCGCATGGTTCTCTAAATTAGGGTCCCTTTTAGGGTCCTTCGTAAGGGGTACTATTTTGGTGATCTTAAAAAGGGTCCCTAATTCACACCTGCCCTAAGAGACCCAAATGGACCCCACACTTCAGTGTTTCCGAATGAACTAGGGTGCAAGGTTTAGGAGTCGAAAAAATTTCCTGATGGTCTTCCCTTATGGTCCCTTTATAGTCATACTACAATAACCCCCCAAAACCCGGTTTAGGGCTTAGGGCTTAGGGTTTAGGGTTTAGGGTTCAGGGCTTGGGGTCTGTGGAGTCAAGAAATCTTGAGGAGACCATGAGCTGCGTGGCCGGGGCATGGGTGAACTCGCACAACAAGCCAGGCCCGTGAAACCCTCGAGACTATAGGGTTTCGGCTTTCGGGTTTAGGGTTTAGGGTTTAGGGATGCGTGTGTGGCCTTGCGTACTTGCGTTGGATTTTCGGCCCAACACATAGGAATTGACAGTTACAGGAAGGGCACTGGGGAAATCCAGGGCGCCGACTCAGTGCCGACTGCACATTGTGAGCCCCGAAAGCAGAATAGACGCGAAGGAAGGCTTTCAGGGGTGCAGACCTTTAAACTCGGTTTGGGCACGACTACGCAGGTATCCATCTTACTGAGATGAAGCAGATACATAGGCAGAACAGAACAGAATACCCATTTGGAGGTTGGGGAGGGGGGGGGGGGTCGCTGAAATATGTTTGTTGACCTGTTTAGTTACCTCTTTATATACACATACTTATGTGTACATGTTCTATATTTGTAGATGTTTCGGTTCATCGGCGTAGGTATGTAGAATTTACGGATTCCTTTGTTTTTGTTTGTATCAGTCTATATCCATACAGAGTCTAGAATCGGCACATGAAAATTCTTAGCCTTCGCTCCCACGTTTCTCCTTTGCTGGAGAGAGCTCGGCTACTTTGAGCTGTCCTCGCAACATCTCGATGCCGCTGTGAAAGCATGGGTTGAGGGTCGGGGGTTGAGGGTTGAGGGCCTCGTCGCCAGTCTGGTCCTCACCGCGCGCTCACCCTAACCCTAAACCCTAAACCCTAAACCCTTCCAGGCCTTGAAGGCTTCGCCTGCTTCGCCTGCATCCAGGCCTCAGGGACCTGCTTGGGAGAGGGGGTGAGAAAGGGGAGGTGGAGGGGAGTTATTTTGAAGTTCAGATCGTCTTCTGCATTTATCCCGAGCCGTCCAACTCCAAACTCACACACATAAACCTTCCCTAACCTCAATGAGGATTCAGGGGCCTCTAGTCTCCAATGTGATTAGAGTTTAGGGTTCAGGGGCAGCCTACACGAACAAGGCCACATCCTTCGAAACACAACCCCCTTGATCTTGGAACCATTGCCTCTCCATTGATGTTCTTGGGCTGAGCATCCCTGAAAAAAGGAGAGTCCATTGACTTATGCGTTTACACGATTCTACGCGACTTGCTCCCCAAGCCCTGCATCGACCAAGAACCGAACGAAAGCTTGCTGAAGCACCTAGACCTCATAAGCACCCTAAGCTCCAAAACCCAAACCCTAAACCTCTCTCAGGTCGTTTCCAAGACGTATGCAGAGCTCGATTCGAAAATCAAGCAGGAGGGGGGTCGGAACTGAGGTTGTGGCCTTGCAGATCTTGATTTTTCAAGCTTGTGCGGCCTCGGGTCCAGCACAGGTTTGAGTAGGGCTTTCCGGGTTCTACTTGGGGCCTCCCATCTAGGGTTTGGGGTTTAGGGTGATTCTGGACCTTTTCTTCTGGCGGATGGTCAAGCAACCATGCTCTCGGGGCTCGGGTCAGGTCAAGCTGCTTCTGTGAAAGTGCGCTCTCGCTGGCAACAGGCTCGAAGTCAGGAAGCGCTCAGCTCCAAAGCCAAATCGCGACGCCGTGCTCTCGATCGGCCCTGAAATCGGAGCGCGTTGTCTCCAAACAGTCATCGTTGGCCTGCAGATTGCTGACAAGAAGAAGTCCGATGGCAAGAGTCAGGTTAACGCTCTTTCTCCGATGAGAGTCATGCACGAAGAGGCAACAACTGTATGCGACCACCAAAATCAACACGCAATCATGATGGTGGAAAGGCGAGCGACCATCAGCAACCATCACGGCAGTACCCCTCGCTAGACATGCCAAGCCCTTCTTTTTGTCTGGCTTCGTCCATGTGATTCCAATTTCATGTGCGCAAAACCCTGAAGCAGCTGGCAGACGAAGGCCAGGGCACGGTGAAGATTTAGAGGGCTTAGTGGCTTAGTGTCACTGGTCGACAGCAATCATCTCCACAACCCGTCTCCAACATATTTTCCAAGTAGCTTGTCTCCAATGAACTTGTTCGAGGCAGGCCGCGTGCATAAACCCCTAAACCTTACAAACCCTACATTACCCCCATATACATATGTACATACTAGTACTAAACCCGCTTACAAACCCTACAAGCCTGTAAACACATCTCACATAATATAAGCCCTGATGCACCCTGTAAAACCCATAAACCCATAAACACCCTAAAGTTCCGAAAGACCAGAACCCGGTTGCCCGGCGAGAGGAGCTTTTCTTCGCAAGCAAGATGAAAGTGACGCTCACTGTCGTCGCTGGGTTCCGCGCTAGTTTTTATTGAATCAGGGAAGTGCTTTTTGGTTCTCAGTAGGGACTGAGGGAATGCCCAATTCTTTCATTCCCTCCGAAGAATCAGTACGATCCTGGGCACATTCTATCCCCCTGTGCCTTTTGGCGGTTTTTTTTCGGGAGCCGAACTCCCAAAATTCCTCACTGAGAACCAGACAAGTTCTGCTCTGGGTTGGGTGGTTCCAACCGCTATGGTTCCAAGGGTCACAAACCCTAAGGGTCAATGCGGAGTACTTGGGCCTTAAAGTACCTTGTATAGGGGGACTGTCGGGGCCCCAAGTACAGAATCATGAGGTACTTGGACCCTTAGGGAAAGCAATGCAAGTTTCCCAACTCAAGTACAGACACCGTAGAGCTTTCGCACTAAACGGTTGTATTCCGATTCTAAAATTGGAGAAATATACAGGTGTCCCATGTAAATATGGGGGGGGGGGGGGGGAAATATGGGGGGGGGGGGGGGGGAATGGGTATCCTATTAGATACGAGAAGGTAAGATGTCTTTGTCCTATAATTTGCAGAAGACATGCCTGTGATTTGTAATGTTTGTACCTGCCGACCCTACTCGCCCGCCCCCCCCCCCCCCCCCCCCGCCCAGAACTGCAAACTATTCAAATCCCAGCCACTGTCCTCACTCAGTCTCCTTTGTCCTGAGGACGCGCGCACACGCCGCACGGTGACGTCCTCTGGCAACCTCCGAACAGGCTCCGGGTTAGGGCTTTGCATGCAGATACCGGACTGGGGCAAGCAAGTTCGTGCTGTTCTGGTGGAATCCGCTCGCGCAAACAGATTCCAGGCTCTGCGCCACGGACCAACGTGCAATGGAGCGTATGGCCCAAGCGGCACTAAGTATGTCACCAGGCCACACAACATCTGTGAGGCCATGGGAGTTGGAGGAATCTCGCGCTTGGCAGCATGGATGGCGGGTGCGGTTCGGAGACAGAGAGCTGACTTGGCACAGTTGTGTTGCAGCGCGGCGATGACCTCAGTCATGGGGCAGCTCTTGGATTTCTGCGCAGCCCTGTGTGGAAGAGTGGCGCACGTCTCAAGTCTTGTGAGTCCCAAGGGGCGCGCGTTTTTGCTTCTATGGTTGTTGGGAAGATTCGAAATTCATTAACCTTTCGAAGACCATCCTGGTCCCTGCAGCATCGTCGAGATCAGCACAGTCACACTTGATGTCCGCGAGAGGAAACTGGCTGCGTGGCACGCCCATGTTGCCCCAGAATCTGCGCAAGCCCTGCAGATACTTCCACCAGGGCAACATCCTTTCTCCAGTGCAGGCGAAGCGCAGAAGCAGTCGCATTCGCAAACGCCGGTAACACCGGTTCGAGCCAGTGTCCCGCTCTTCTTTCTCCACTCGTTCAGACCCATGGCCCTTGCCAGAACCTGATTTTGACCGTATTCCCTGAGAGCATTTCAGTCCGTGAAAGCCGGACAGTTGCTAGTTTCGTCAATGACTTTCTAGTTCTTGAATTGGTTTCAGGGGCAAGGGCAGCCGCAGTTGAGAAAAGCTTGCGCAGGCTGGGGTCGCGGCCGCGCGCAGAGATTTTTGACTTCACTTGCGCACAGAGTCAATACCGGTCCCTGGGGCCACGCCCGGCTCTTCACCAGGGATGAGTCCCGCCTACACTCCTACCCCGTCCGATGGCATCTGATGGGATTTGCAGTCATGGGTTTGGGGAACCCTCGAGAAGTTGTAAACTTGAAGCCCTACTCCCAGTGTTGCCTTTGGGCGCTATCAGGCACGGATTTTGGCCAGGAGCGTGGGCACTCCACGCCCGAGTATTGTTAAGAAATGGGGAAGTCGTCGCTGCTTCGTTGTTTGCGAAATCTTGACAGTACTGTGTTCCATGTGGGCTTCGTTGCTGACAGAATTGGCCAAACATGCCCCAAGATGCCCGAAGCCCAAGCCATGAACCCCGACCTGTGCGCTTTGCCCGACAACGACCACTGCACTCACCTGGCACGGCAAACAGAGTGTTGGGCAAATGTGATGGCATGGGTTTGTCCATGTGTTGTGTTTTGGCCATATGTCTCATGTCATGTGCTGAAACTCTAAACCCAAAAGCCCCCAATGTTTCAGAGTCCCCCCACGCGCACCCTTGAAGCAAGCCCCCCCCTCCCCCCCCCACCCCCCCCCACCCCCCACTTGAAAAAGCCGCTCCCCCGCCCATCTAGAAACACAATCCTTCCTCATGAATTTGGCAAGTAGCATTTGCTTCCCGTCCTTCTAAGCAGATGCTACTTGCCATTTCAGCCCGTAAACTGAAGGCCTCCCTCTAAACCCCCTAGAGCCCTAAGCCCCTAGCCCCCGTACGCGAAACCCGGAGGCTGGCCGGACGTCTTCACAGCGGACGTCATGCCAGGAGCAGCGGACACCATGCGCCGCTACAGGTTCTTAGGGTTTTGGGGTTGAGGGCTTAGGGTATAGGGGCCCTTGGGGGCATCGGGATGGGTGAAGATGTCTTCACATGTGCTAGGACGTATTCTTCTGGGTTAATTATTGCTTGCAGCTGTCAGGGAGTGTTCTTTGTTCAAACCTTTTTCTAAATGTGCCCTCCCAGCTTCAATCGCCACAAAACTCGTCTGTGGGCAGGTCTGTGACGCATCCAGGTGCGCTTTGGGTGTGATGTGTGGCTTCAACGTGTGCAGTCTGTGCAGAATCTTGAGAATCCTCGCCAGCTGCACGTGCTTTCAGGTGCAAGGAGGGTTTGGGGTTTAGGGTTTAGGCTTTAGGGTTTAGGGTTGCCCCAAAACTTGAGTTCAGCCCGACAATCGAGGCGGAGGTCCTGATGAGGTGGGCTGCTCAGCGCAAGAACGAAACTTCAAAGCACCCCGAACCCAAGGGCGCCACTTCCAAGCTGCACACGCGGCCCGTGTCCAGGGTGCACGCGCCGTCTGTGTCCTAGGTGCACGCGCAACGTTGGGGACCTGCGCAGGGCCGAGTGTTCTTGTACCCCCTAAGCCTCTAAGACTCTAAGCGTTAAAAACCCCAAAAACCCTCTCCGACCCGTGCCACGCAAACGAGCGTCGGGCTGGTTTGGGTGCCAAGATCCCTGAAATTAACCCTAAACCCTAAACCCCAAACCCTAGACCCCAAACCCTAAACCCTAAACCCCGAAGCCGAAAGCCTAAAGCCTAAAACCCTTATAAATCCTAAACCCAAAACCCTTAACCCTTACCCCTAAACCCCTAAACCCTAAACCTTAAACCCTAAACCCTAAACCCCTAAACTCTAAACCCTCTGTAGACAACCCTCAACTTTGAGTCGATCCTCCTGAAGCCTAAACCCTAAACCCTAAGAACCCTAAAAAACCTCCCCGACTCGTGGCACCCAAGCGAGCACCGGGCTCGTTTGGGTGCCAAGATCTCTGAAATTAACCTTGAACCCTAAGCCCTAAACACGAAACCCTAAACCCTAAACCCTGAAGCCTAAAGCCAAGCCTAAACCCTAAAGCCTAAACCCAAAACCCTCAACCCTGACCCCTAAAGCCCTAAAACCTAAACCCTGAACCCTAAACCCTTAGCCCTGGACCCTAAACCCTAAAGCCTAAACCCTAGAGCCTAAAGGCACTTCCAAGCTGCACGCGGCACTTCCAAGCTGCACGCGCTCTCAAAGCCCTGAACAGCCACCCTCAACCCAAGAAAACTGTAGCTGAGAAGTTTCCGGAATCCGAAAGCTTCGAAATACCTGGTAAAAACCAATGAAAACAAGACGTGTGTGCGGCCTGGACGCGGGAAACGCTGTGGGCACCTTGGACGCGGACATGCGTGCGCCTTGGAGGGGCCCTGTACCCGAAGCCCTAAGCCTCACTCATCCTTTGAAAGTCAGGGTTCAGGGTTTAGGGTTTAGGGTTTAGGGGCCATACAAGCCTTATTGAAGAACTTCCAGAACCGGAAGTTTCACAGATGCGGAAGGCCAATGCCTGCGGGCCGAGTCTCATCGGCTGGGGGCCACGCGCTGCGCTGAGGCGGAGAGCGTCGCCTGGCGTATCAGAGGTTTGTTTTGAACAGGCAGGCTTTCAGGGACTTAGGGTTTAGGGCTTTAGGGGTTTAGGGCTTTAGGGTTTTAGGGTTTCAGGGTTTTAGGGTTTTAGGGTTAGGTTTTAGGGGTTTAGGGCTTTGGGGTGTTAGGGCCTGGATGCAAAAAGGTGTTAGGGTTTAGGGTTAATCAGGGGCTTAGAAAGTTTAGGGCCTTTTGGGGCTCGATGTGGCGCCTGCGAGTGGGGGATGGGGAGGGGGAGGGGGGGGTTGCGAGCTTTGGATCCCGCGAAAACTCGAAGAATGTTTATGTTCCCCCTATGTAATCGCAGAATGCCCCTTAAATGTTTCACGGCGTGAGCAAAGGTGTATATGATAGAGTTACCCAGACAGACTCGTAGAGTTGTGGAGGCTTGTTGTTGAGTTTTTGGAACGGTGTCTTCCCCGTCCATCGGAGGCCTCTGAGGTTGCAGGAAGTTCGCGCAGCAGATGCAAAAAAGAACTGTTCCGCAACCCCCCCCCCCCCACAACTCAGCGTACCGGGAGTCCGTGACTCCTTTTTCAGCAGTCCGGGGCCACTGGAAAACCCTCAACCCTAGACCCACAAAACCCTCAACACCTTGAACCCTAAACCCTAAACCCTCAAGAGAAAATAAATAGAAATTGTATATGGTATCATTATGAATTTCCCTTATTTGTCTAAACAGCTGACAAGCAGAGCAATTATTCCAAAGTGCATGGGAGGCCAAATGCTCAATTTACTTAAACCTTGGCGGCCTTCCCACCAAAATCTCCCATGCTGTTTGTCTTAACAGCTGACAAGCAGAGTTTAAGTACATCTGGGGAGGCCAAATGTTCAATGAACTTAAACCTCTGGCATCCCCCCCCCCCGGCACCAAAACAGCTCGCTCTCCACAGGGCACCAAAAGACTAGGTTTTAACAGGCTCCAAAAAGCTCCAAAAAGGCCTGAAAAGGCCCCCAAAGGCACCAAAAAGGGTCCAGGAGGGTGCAGGAGGCCCCAAAAGGCCACAAAAACGCGCCAAAAGGGCACAGAAGCTTTCAAAAAGCCCCAGGAGGCCACAAAAAAAGTCCCAGGAGGCACAGGCCCCACAAAAAAGATGGCTTGGGGGAGGCGCCTATTTGGGGGCTCCCGGTGCCTATTTTGCCTATTTTCGGCTTTTCGGGGGGCTTAATTTACTTTGGTGCCTTTCTTGGGCCTCCCAGAACTTATTTTGGGGCCTCCGAGCCTTCCCGGGTCTATTTTGGGGCCTTGTGAGGCCCATTTGGGGCCTAATTTGGGGACTTATTTTGGGGCCTTTGGTGCATGTAGTGGGGGCTTATTTTGGCATCCGGGAGCTTATTTCTGGCCGTTCAGGCCTTATTTTGGGGCCTATTTTGATTTTGGGGGGCTTATTTTAAATTGAGGCCCTGAATCCTATTCCTTATTTGGGCTTTTTTTTGCCAAAAATACCAAAAAAAACTTCGGGGCCCCGGGAGGCCCCAAAGTAAGCCCGGGATGCCCCAAAATGGGTCCTCTGAGACGGCCCCGGAACGGCCCAAAATAAGCCCCGACAAGTACAAAAATAAGGTTCAAAAAAAATTAAGGCGCAGCAGGTCCTAAAATAGGCCCCGGGACCACAAAACAGGCCCCCCGGCAGGCCCCAGGGCGCCGGAAGGTTTTGGAGGCTCCAAAATAAGCCCGAAAAGGCCCCAAAATATAAGCCCCCAAAAATGTGCGGGAGGCACGTTCCCAGAATAAGCACCCGAGACCAGGCTCCAAAAATCGGTCCCAGGAAGCCCCAAACCTGGAGGCCCGGTAGGCTCCAAAATAAGTGCCGGGAGGCCCCAAAATAGGCTCCGAGAGGCACCAAATTTTTCAGGCTCGGAGACCGAAACCCCAGAATAGCTCGGAAAGTCCAAAATAAGCCCGGCAAGGCTAGGATTGTCAGAAGGCCCAAAAGACCCACAGGGCCCCCAGCCCTGAAAAGACCTCAGAAGGTTTCAGCAGGCTTAGGAGGCCTAACAGGAGGCCGCAAAAGGCCCCCAAAAGACCACAAGATCAAGAGACACCTAAAGGTTCCAGGAGGCCCCAAAAAGCCCCACAAGGCCCCCCATAGGCACCAAAAACCACTAGGAGGCCCCAAAGGGTTTAGGGTTTAGGGTTTTAGGGAGGCACCAAAGAGTGCCAGGAGCCCCCAAAAAGCCCCCAAGATTAAGTCCTGGGAAGCTCCCCGCCTCGCTCCCCCCAAAAATATATCAAAGCGGCTCCAAAATGCACCAAAACTCGGTCAAAAAGTTTTTTTCCCCGGGCCACCCTCCAAAGAGGACGGCGCAAGCAAAAGGACGCCCGGTGAGAACAAAAAACTCGTCTGCGAGTTTGTGTTTCACCGGACGTCCTTTTGCTTGCGCTGTCCTCTTTGGAGGACGCCCGGTGAAAAAAAACTCGCCTGCGATTTTTTTTTCACCGGGCGTCCTTGTGCTTGTGCTGTCCTCTTTGGAGGGACGCCCGGTGAAACAAAAACTTTTTGGGACCCAAACCCTATCGAACGCGCGGTGACCCTAAACCCGAAGCCCCAAAACTAAGTTCCAAAACACAAAACGTTTCGGTCAAAACTTTCGCTCAAAACTTTTTGGGACCCAAACCCTATACAATTTCTATAAACCCTAAACCCTAAACCCTAAACCTAAGCCCTAGACCCTAAACCCCCCCAAAAGAGGACCAGCTCTTGGAGGCGGAGGAGCTCAGCTCCCTCCTCTGGGATGAGCTGCCTGGACAGCAAGTAGAATTAAGGTTTGGGGTTTAGGGTTTCGGGTTTAGGGTTTAGGGTTTCGGGTTTAGGGTTTAGGGTTTCGGGTTTAGGGTTTAGGGCTTAGGGTTTAGCATCTCTGGTCCATGCATTCACTAAGGGTGTTTGGCATCACCCCACCCACCCAGAATTCCTTTCATTTGGCAACCCTATCTATCATTCCAAGTCCTTCTGCCTAGTTCCTCATTCCGAAGTCATAAATCCTAAATCCGGAGGCTGGAGTTCGTTGCAGCCAGACCAGCTGCGAAGGATTTCCAGTCGCACGTGCTGTTGATGTCAGCTTGCTGTCCGTTCAACATCGCAGCCAGCCACGATGCCATCGCGCTGCCAGAGACCGGCTGCGATCCCGGCACTGAAACGTGAGATAGAATCTTTATTTCTCCTGAGCTTTCGACTGGAGGATCTTTGTCAGGCCATTCTGTGTGTCGATACTCATATATGCTTCGAACGTCAGTCTCTTGGGCATTCCTCAATAGGCAACTGATTTCGACACGGAAGATCAAAAACCAACTTTTGCACAAAAACAACACATGTGTTCGGAGCTATAGCCGGCGCTGGCTACCGTGTCGGGTTTGGAAAACCTTGCAAAACAGCTGCAAATGCGGGCAAAACCAAACGGCCGACGCGATGAACATGTTCATTCCTGCGTCCCAGGGGGCCCCGGGACACAGTCCCGGCTGGTTCCCGGGGCGTCCCGGGAAGGCCTCGGGGCATTTGTCCCGGGGGTTTCCGGCACCAGGATTTAGGATTTAGGATTTAGGATCTAGGAACCACGAAAACGCAAAAAAGGCCAACGACCCCATTAAGGTTATAATGTATAGGTAGAGAGTGTTTAGGGTTTAGGGTTGAGGGCTCAGGGCTTAGGGTTTTCTTCTTGTGTTCATCATTCGAAAATCAGAGGAGGAGAGCAAGGGCAACAGGCTCTCTGGTGCTTGGATGTAGGAGTTCCCTTTGCGGGGGTATACAAGGACCTTCGTGGCAGAGCTTTGCTTTCGGCTGGGCGTGCCCGACGCGGCCGAGGACACATGGTGTCCTAAATGTGACGCCGTTTTGGATCGGTATAGCCGCCATGCAGCCGTTTGTGTTGCGGGCGGCGAGCGGACTTTGTGGCACAACTCCGTTCGCGACATTGTCTTGTCCTGGGCTGCCAGGGCTGGTCTACATCCGGAAAAGGAGCGCCCCTCCTTCTGCCACAGTCCCCTGTCGGCTGCACGCAGCGTAGGAGTCGGCTTGCTTTCCGGCAGGCTTGTCTTGCGCAAGGCGCAAGCGCATGGTGGCATGTGCCATGGGATGCCAATGTGCATGCCTGCACGTGTTGCACGGTTGCACTTCCCTTGTGGTGCTTTGTCCTCGCGCCGCCCTCAGAAGTGGGGTTGCAGAGTGCTGTGTACATGTGGTCCATGCCATTCTCTGTACTTTACGCTTTTGGGCCCCAATAAGGTAATTAGTCCAAGCTCGGAAACTACCACGGCCACGCCTGTAGTGGGTGGGAGGGAGACGGGCCAGCGGCGTGGCACCCCAAAATGTATGACATGTACATCTGGCCTTTGTTTTGGCAATCCCCCCCAACGCCCCGGAAAGAACTCCATTTTTTACAAGCAGAAGCAGAGCTGAGGTTCAAGACGAGCGCCGATGTGCCAGGCAAGCAGCAAGCCTCGCTCCTTAACCGAGGCACAGCCCTCTGGGAAGGTTTTCTGGTGTTTGGAGCGGGGCAGCTTTTTTTCCCACGAGGAGGGAAAGTTGAGGCCTTTGGGGTTTAGGGTTTAACTAGGTTCTGGTCTGGTGGGGGGGGGGGCTGGTTTAGGGGTCCAGGGCAAAGTTTAGGGCTGTTTGCTGGGCCGGCTCCCAGCATTTTCCCAAGAGGAGAGGAAAGTTGAGGCTGTTGGGGTTTGGGGTTTAGGGTTTAGGGCTGGGGTTTAGGGTTTAGGGTGTATTAGGTTAGGTTTCCGAGCCCCAGGCACCGCGCCGACCACGCTCCGCAGCTTCCACATGCGTGCGAGCTGTGAAGAGCATGCCTTGGTCCCTTGGACCTCGTGCTGTGGAGGGTTTAGAGTTTAGGGTTTAGGGCTTAGGGTTTAAGGGTTAAGGGTTTAGGGTTTAGGGTTTAAGGTTTAGGGTTTGGGTGGTGTGAACAGGGTGAGGGTGATGGTTTAAAGTCATGGCTTGGGGTCTTAAGGAGGGTTGAGGCTCTAGCGAAATTTTTTCTGCGTCCTCCAGCGTCTGAGCCACGTTTGGCCCATGTCCGCAGGGATAGGGCACTGTAAGGTCCAAAGAAAAGAGATGAACGGTGGCATGTAAAAAATGATGCAGCTGGGGCAGGGGAGCACAGGCATCGGTCGAGCTCAACGTCTTCAGCGGCGCGCGGCTCGGAATGCGCCTTGTCCATATTAGAAGCATGTGCGGGGAAGGTTTTTATGAGTTTGGGGGGGCAGTCGACCACGAAGGGGAAAACCACGTGTCAATCACGGTCGTTCCGGGTCGGGGACTACTCTGCCGAGTTTATGGTTGCGACAGCAGCCTCCCGCCACCACGCTTGCTGACCGACGCCGCCCTCACCCTAGGCACAAAAAGCGGTTGAAAGTTGCACAGTGCTGCTGCACAGGCGTCTTGAAGAGCACGAGCTGCGTGAATTGAAAGTCAGTAGATCGAAGCTAAAATTATTGAGCTCCCCGCCTGCGGCAGTTAGTTAATTTTCACGCTAAAGGGCAACGGCGAGGCAAGGTCGCCACTTCCAGGAAAGTTTGCTCATTGGAATTGGACGGTAGGCCAAATCCAATGCCGGGTGGGGTACAGCCCAAGGCGCGGTTTGGATCAACTATTTCGTCCAGATTGACTGCTTAGGTTTTGGAGGCTCAAGAAGGTCAGGAAGAAAAGGGCGCATTCAATCGATCGACCTTGTGTTCGTGCCGGGGCGAAATTGACCGCATTATTGAAGACGGCCAGATAAATCGGTCGCCCGTCTTGACCGTCTTGGGGCTAAGATTTAGGCCCATGACATCAGGTCCGCGACCTGCACAGCTGCCTCCACTTACGGCAATCCGGTGGAGCACGTCGCTTCCAAGCATTGACAGGGTGTAAGACGTTTTCACTTGGGGCGGCCGAGCGGTTAGTGCTTAAGACTGCCTAATATGGGTTGGCACTGCAAGTGGCTGACAGGCGTTCCTGATCAAGGGATTCGAACCCCCTAAGGTTGTACGGTCGTACCTTTGAGATTGGGGACCCTTTTTCCAAGATCCTCTAGGGGAATACAAGGGCCATTTTTAGGCGTGTATCAACCTTTAGGGCTACAACCTTAGGGTTGTGCCCTTGAAGTGACTGGGGTTCTTGGAGGCAGGTTCGGCTGGGTTTAGGGTTTAGGGTTTAGGGGTTTGGGGTTTAGGGTTTAGGGTTTAGGGTTTAGGGTTGTTGTATGTGGGCCTTGCCGTCGGCCGCGGGGCCGGAGGCGTCCCCCCGAAACCTTCAAAGTCCGAGAGCACCGAACCTTGAAGATCTAGCGCGCTTTGCCATAAGCCACTGAGCTCTGATGCCGCCGCCTGATGACCCAAGCCCCAATCAACAAGCAGAGCTTAGGTGATCTCCGTCCCGGGCGCTGTCACCATCACCAGCATAAGCGAGGGGACCTGCCTGAGCGCCTCGGGAGGTTTCATTTGGAGCTTAGGGTGTTCGAAAGTGGTAGATGAAACTGGCAAGCGAAACTTTCGCTCGGACAAGAACCCGCTTGTAAAGTCAAATGGGCTTCGAACCCACAGTCTCACATGTATCACGGGCTTGAGGTGATGACCATGGGTCCTTGTGATCAAACACCCCAAGCAGCCAAGTGACCGAGGCATCCACGTCATTGTCCCCTGGCACCTCAAGCAGCCCACGCTTTCCCAATGCATGGATGCACATGTGGACAATCAGCTTCTCGGCTTGGGGAGTGTTCTTTCTTGCGCGCTGGGCTGTTTGCCAACTTGCTCCAACGAGCAGCACCGGTTTAGGAGGGAGGGTTCAGGGTTTAGGATTTAGGGTTCAGGGTTTAGGGTTGAGGATTCCTATTATGTAGTCGGCTTGAGGCCGCATGTCCAACAGGCGTGAAGAAGATTGGCAGGTAATGAGCCTGAAGCAAGACCCCCGACTGCCATCCATCTCTTCGTGCCGTTGTTCCGCTGAGGAATGTCTACATTCACAGTTGCCATGACGGGCTGAACCAGCTGTGGTACATGTTGGAGGGCAACATCATATCCCTGTTGGACCACAAGTGCTTGGACTACCACACCGGCACAGAGAACGTGTACATGCATGAGTGCCACGGCGGTACCAATCAGAAGTGGTACTTCGAAGAAGGCACTAAGCGAATCCGGAGTAAGGTGGACCACAAGTGCCTGTTTTTTGACTTTCTAAACGGCCAGAACATCAAAGTGTCCGAATGCGACGACAACGATTTACAGCAGTTTGAGTCTCAGCTGCAGGGAAGACTTTAGGGCAAACTTGGGGGTTTAGGGTTTAGGGTTTAGGGTTAGGGTACGGGGGCAACCGAAGGGGGACGGGGAAACCAACCAATCAACCCCAACAGAAGCCTGGAATTTTCCCCTGGACCAACCAAAAACCAAACCAAAGAACAGTCCTCTTTTTGACAGGCGCATGGCCCGATCCTTGAACCAAATGTTTACGGGTACATTGACCCTTGAAACCTCCTTTGAAATACACACACCATCTCCGCACTCCCCCTGTCCCAGGCTTTCCTGGGACACCGTTGGAGATGAACGGATTCGGCCAAAAACTGCACTTTAGGCAGCAGCCGAGAGGATTAAAGTCATTAAAGACTTTATGGGAGATTCGACATTGTGAAACTGGTTTAACGTCTTCCAGGACGGGTGAAGGCAATTTCTACGCCTTGATGCCTCTTCGGGCACTCGCTCCTATTTTGTAACTCTGTGGCCTACTTTTCTTCGCCGAGGATCTTATCACCTCCAAGCGGAACCATTCTTTTCAGCCAGTGAGTTTTTCTTCCCCAAGGAAATCTGCGCTAACGAACCATTCCTTTTTGACACAGCGCTTACACAGCGTTCTGGCCTTAAGTTGTGAGTAGCGCAAACTTCACAATCACTGCTTGCATGCATACAGTTGCCATTGGTAGTGGTATACAGTGTCGCCGACTGGGGAAGTACAACCGCCCGTTTGCCGCACCACCAACGATGAAGCAGTTTGAGACCAAAACGGAGGGCCTCCCAGAGTAAAATCACTGCCGCCAGGTACATCCCAAGATCCCAGTGGTCCAGTACAGCCTCTATCCATTGTGCCAAAAACATTGCCGTAGGTGCACTTGATGCCATGCATACCCCATCCTGAGAGCAGAGAAAACCTGGGGTAGAGGGTCCATCCACATTGGGATTTTCTGCCAAACCTTGAAGAGATGCAGCCACCATAATAACTGCCGCAGCAATGGTCGCCTTCCTCAGATCTGTTCCTCGAACCAACATTTGTAGACCCCACAGGCTTTTCAGCTTGGCATACACTTGGCCACTCATCAACTTTGTCAGCAGATCGGCCAGCATATACTCACCCCGAAGGTGTGCAATCACCATGTATCCACGGTCCACCAGAGACCTCGCACCCGCAGCTCGAACGCGTAGGTGCCTCGTCCTCCAGCTTCCAGCAGGATATTGAATAATTTAGCAGGTCGACACAGAATCTGTATACAGCACTTTTTGCAGCGACTCCTCTTTTGTTCCCACCAGAGAAGCAATAATTGGAGTACACGCCTGGATCATCGTGGCCCCTTCTATAGACGCATGCAACTCAGCTTCTGCAGTACTTCAAGCCACCGTTGACTGTCTTTACGTTGCCCACATCACAGGACAATCACCCCACACTACCACGGCACCAGAGTGACTTTTCTCATTTTCCCCAGCTGCGAAACTAGCGTCTGCGTAGGACTCAACAACCTTGATGCCCCGCCCGTGTCTCAGCAGTTCACTCCGTTCTCTCGTCCCAGCAGTGATTTTTCCAAACGTTAAACCTAACGTTGGAGTTGCAGCAAGGTACCTGAAGACCGCTTCAGCCTTCTTCACTACAAACCGTGGCCTTCGCGACGTCCACAAAGACAGCTGGCTTGTACAAAACGCCAAGTCCGGCCTAGTCTTGATTGCCGCTTAGAGGAACTCCCCCACGGCCCCTTGCGCCGCCCTCAGAGAAGGAATATCCACCTCCTCTTCTTCTCCTGGTGTTTCTTTGACCGTTGGCAGATGACTACCTTTTCCAGATTCATCAATCTGGCACCCACGCCTGTGCAGCAAATCCTGCACAAAATCCTCTTGATTCAGAAGAAAGGCACCATTCCTGTACCAAATCTGAGCTCCGAAATACTTCAGAAATCCGTCTCCACAGCCTGGACCACAGAACTCAGGTTCCGATGTTTTCCACTCCTTCCTGATCTGTTCCAGAGCTTCCCGGATCACTGTCATAGTCCCGGCCAACAAGAAATCATCCCCATAGAGACCCATAGTCCCCACCAATTCTTTCACGCCATTCAGCTTTTCCTGGGCAACTCAGAAACAAACTAGGGTCTGCGTTGGACCTCTGAAAGACCATTGAACGTCCGTCTCCAGCAACCCAAGACATGCCTTGTAGACGTTGATCTCGCCACTCAACCCACGCTGCTGGACTTTCAGCCAAACCATATAAGGCCTTCCTTACTATCCAGCGCTCCTCTTTGCTACTTAACTGCTGCTCGGGGAGGTTGGACGACCACCATGCGCCCCTCCCGTTGCACTCTGTTCATCGGCGCAGTCAAACAAGCTTTGGAAATGTCGACTCCAGCTATAATCCATACCATCTCGGCAGCGTGACGAACTTGACGCCTGAAAGTTGTTGAGTCCAGACCCGGAGCATACAGCGAGTGACGACTTAGAGACTTTGGTCCCTCGTACTCAGTGGCCCCATTTGAGGAAATAAAATTTCCACATGCACAGATGCGAGCACGCCTTCTTCCAGTTCCTTGTTTCCTGGTAAAAACGACCAGACTCAGACTGGGCACGTACTCAATCTCCGGTGCGTTTGGCTGTTCTGCCAATAAATCCAATTTTCTTGAGCCGCAGGTTCCACCGCCCCCAACTCTTTTACTAAAGACGCCACCTCATCAGACAATGATTCCCGCCACTTTTCGAGCTCTTGCATTGCTTCTTGAGTTGGAATAGTTTTGGTCTGCAAAAACTCAGACTCTTCTGCCGCTTCTAGCGCCTGATTTTCTTGCACCACTCGCTGAACTTGCGCTGCCTTCCCCAGCAATTCCACCAGCCGTCTCTCAAGATTCCTTGAGCAGCCATTCTGAGGTAACTAGACCTTTTCTTCGTGCAGATCATTGTCTGTCCCACGGAACTCATCTAGTAGACAGTCCTCTTGCTCAGCGATCACCCTTCGTAGTGCAACATGCTGTTCCAGCGCCCATTCTTGTGCTTCAGAAACGACGATGTCCTCGGTGGCGACCACGTCTTCCAATGAGGTCTCACACAGCGTCACGTTTAAATATTTGGCACTTCCACCTTCTTCAGATTTTATCTCTGGCGGCTGAAATCGGCACTGGTGTAGATAACACCTATCCTTGTAACCCAGTTTTCCCAAAAGGCCTGGTGTATATCCAGTCAAGGACACCCGATTGCCTTCCCATGGCATCGGTCCATGCACCTTTCGTGGAAGAAAGGAGACAAAGTTCCAGTGAATATCTGTAACTTTTCCAGCCAATACCTTTTTTCCGTATGACTGTTCCACCACGTCAGCTCCCTCCTCTATTGCAGCTTCGTCTTCTACCCATAGCTGCCCATTTCTGTAGTCACCAAATCCGCAGACATAGTTGTACTGCTCTTTGGCGTTGTGACTATCCCGATGTAAGGACACCGGGGCATTACATGAAATCTGCAGAGCGGAGAACTTTGCTCCAGGATTGTGCCTCGCCACAAAGGTTGCCAGATACTTGCGCAGCCACGGCCTTCTCCTGGCTTCCGTGGTAAATCCACACACTCCTCCATGAGCGTAGTGACCCAGGATTAAAGCACGTGTGCTCAGGCACCAATTGTTGCTACCGCCACGACGATTCATCCGCGCAGGGTACACAATCCCTTCCAGCAGTTCCTCACAATCCGCAAAATCATACAGCGAACGTTCGTACATATATTTGGCTTTTTGTTCTCCTTTTTCTAACTGCGTCGCTTCCTCCGCCGTAGCTCTTTTCTGAGCAACAAGCGACTTTGGACCAGCATCACAGCAATTTGGCCAGCACTCATCACTTGGACCATTGTCCTCATCATCCGCCTCCTCCCCCAGTCCCTCAAAGTCTTCCATGTCATCCTCAAAAACTTCAAAAGTGGGAAGTCCAGGAGCCCACCGCGCCCATATTGAAGACTGACTGATACGTTCTTTTAGTGTTGAAGCGAGTGTTATTGACCACGGAACGACCGCACGAACCTTGTCTACAGACTCCCACAGCTCCTCACTGAAACCAGTAGCGTAGTGGGTTTGACCAGCGCTGTCCAAGCGCCCCCTGATCAAAGTGTGCGGCGTACATCCCATAGCGCCCGCAGAATTGCTTTATTTCTGGCCAACGCCAGAAAGTTGGGTCTTTATTCCCCGCCTGAGGCTGATCCACAAGATCTTCAGCACTCCAAACCACCTTTTTAATTCTGAGAAAACTCTTTTCCTATCAGCTCCGGATCTCCTGGGCTTTCCATGCCAAAGAACACCAAGCTGCTATTGCTGACGCCAGCTCCACATTTCGCATGCACCGCCACGTCATAGGAAGAGCATCTTCAGAAGTAAAATACCGTCCTTTTTGGATGTTTCTTGCCATGACAACGACAGACCATTGACACCAAAGCGTTCAGGACCCCAGCGTCGTCGAAGTACCGGACCTCCGTCTTCACCCCTCAACCTTGACACTGTCCTGCACGGCGGTCCAACAATCACAGCAACCACTTTCCCTCCAGCAGCAAGAAGCAGAAGATACTTCCAGACACTCGGATTGTGTAGGTCTCCGCCTTTCTTCAAATCCAGCTCCAGTACCTCCACGTCTCGGCCGGGAAAATGCCATTTTTTTGAACCTGAAATTCGATGAAGGACCACCTTTTTGGCTCTTTGCACTCGCCGTCTTTTGTGACGATTAAATGGTAACGCCTCCACCTCACCATGTGGCAACAGCTCCGTCAGCCTTTCTTCTGGCACCTCACCAAAGTGCCGCCTGAGGAGCCTCCAGCACGCCTGGACGAATTCCACCTCAGAGGCTGACGCTGTCCGTGCTGCGCTTTGCAACGACGCTTTTGCGGCCACTTCACTGTCCGAAATAAGACAACCTGTTACCATATGTGCCACCTTCAATATTTGTTTTGGTGAGCACCAATCCATTTCATCAATTATCTGAAGTGCCACATCCTTTTCTAAACAAGGGCACCCATTGCCAACAAATCCGCCCCCGCGACCCAGAACCATGATGAGTAACAGTATACACCTGTCATCCCGGGGTCGGAGGACTTCCACAGCACCCAGAACAAACTTTGGCATGCCCAGGCAGCAGACTCGGGTCTAACCATGCCTTCTCAGAGCTAAAGCAGAATGACTAACAGTATACATCCATCATCACAACGAGCTAGGCAGGGCACTAGGTAAAGTGAAGCCGGTCCAGGCAACTCAGGCCGGGGGGTACTCCATGGGCGGCACTCCGGGTCATCACTGGTGCTCAATCTTCCTTCTCCCACATCGTCCATGCGATGCAGCACCACTGCCACGGATCCACGCCATACATTCCACACATATAGCCCCACGGTGCCATGCAGACATGCAGACCATGCAGACCAGGGCAAAGGCCTTGGCGTCGTCGCCCATCGTTCATGCAGTGTAGCGTTGCGCCGTGCCGCATCGTAGTGAATTCCATGCAGTCACGCTCTCGTGCCTAATCATCTCTTTCCCTCATCGTCCATGCAGTGCAACACATGCAGACCAGGGCAAAGGCCTCGACTTCGTCGCCCGTCTGTCACACAGTGTAGTGTTGTGCCACGCAGCATTCCAGCGAATTCCGTGCAGTCACGCACACGGTCATGCAGCCATGCACTGCGGCCCTGTGCCCATCGAGTTCGTGCCACTTCCACATCCCTGCAGTGCCAGAAAGCCACAGGCGATCAGCGGCTTGGCAGTGCGACTCCGCCGCCAGGGGTTCCACCATAGAGGGGCAGGCAGCTGAGTCGGTATCCTCCAGACCATCACCTGGAAGTAGAAGTGGGCGTAAAGCGGTGGCGAGGAGAGCCATGGCCCACGCAGGGAGACCACTAACACATCTCGAAGGACTTCATGAACACGAAGTTCTCCCAGAACAGGGTGTGAGGCTGTGCACTTACCACCACGCCGCTGCACTCTGAGACCAACCAAAGCGCTTGTCTTGCCGATTGGCGCCAGTGGATCTACTTCTTCAGGAGTTACCAGGGTTCCGCCTTTGGTAATACACATCCAACAACTAATGACACCATCACCTTTTGCTGCGGAAGCTCTTCACCAGGACGAAGTGATCGGAGAGGATGTGATGCCCCCGAATCCAACATGCCCATTCGAGAACACTCATTGGTTTCTGGCCACCTGAAGGACGCATACTCCTCGGCCTTCTCCCTGTTTCTGCAACAACGTGGTGTCTGACGAACCGACTCCACAGTCCGCCCTTCCACTCCTCCATTGAGAGTTGGCGCCAAAACCTTTTCAGCGCGTAAGACCATTTGCAGAGCTGCAGTATATTCCATTACCAAGCAACCATGCTCAAACCATAGGAGGTGGTCCAGCGAAGATTTTGTACTCACCCGACAGATCCCATTGACGACAGTGAGATTCGCCCCAGTCTCCAAAAGCATCCAGAGGGGCCCATTGTCTTCCCTGAAATTTTCATAGAAACACCGCCCAGCGCTCTTTGCACCGTTGCAGTAGTGTTTGGCAAATGCTCCCCAGGAAAGAGCGTCCGCGCAAGATGCGTAGCAGCTGTATCTACCATAGGCCCTGAAGACGAAATTCGGCACTGAAGACGAAATTCGGCCCCTGAAGCCTAAATTCGGCCCTGAAGCCTGAATTGCGCCCTTGAAGCCGAAATTCGGCCCCGAAGACGAAACGGCCGCTGCTCACGAAATTCGGCCCTGAAGCCGAAATTCGGCTCCTGAAGACGAAATTCGGCCCGGAAGCCTAAATTCAGGCCTGAAGACGAAATTCGGCCCTGAAGCCGAAATTCGGCTCCTGAAGACGAAATTCGGTCTGAAGCTTGAATTCGGTTTCGGTCCCCCTTAGGCCTGCCGAAAATGGCTTCGTTTTCGGGGCCGAATTTCGTCTTCAGAGCCGAATCTCGGCTTCAGGGCCGAATTTCGTCTTCAGGGCTGAATTTAGGCTTCCGGCCGAATTTCGTCTTCAGGAGCCGAATTTCGGCTTCAGGGCCGAGTTTCGTCTTCAGTGGCCGAATTTCGTCTTCGGGGCCGAATTGCGTCTTCGTTCGGGGCCGAATTTCGGCTTCAAGGGCCCAATTTAGGCTTCAGGGCCTAATTTCGGCTGGGCCGAATTTCGTCTTCAAATTTCGTCTTCGAATTTCGTTTTCGCCCCCCCCCCCGGAAAAGGGGACCCACTTCCCCGGGTCTCTGTCCTTGTAGAAGGATCCCCGCCTGATGCAGCATGCGACGGTGAAAGCCTCATTGACTTAAGCACCTCCGTCGCTTCAGCAAGAATCTGAGTAGGGGTAGTAGGCGACGAAGGACTTGCCGCTCCACCTTCAGAACCAGCGGTAACCACCTCCTTCAGCCACTTCAGCCTTTTTTAGTTACGAGGAGAGGGGACATACTGCATCACGCTTCATCGCAGATCTGGCCGAAGGGGAGAGCAGACATACTTCATCACAGACCTGGCCGACATACTTCATCACAGTCCTGGCCCACGGGGAGAGGGGACATACTTCATCACAGATTTGGCCCATGGGGAGAGGGGACATACTTCATCGCAGACATGGGTTGCGGGGAGAAGGGACGTACTTCATCACAGACTTGGCTCACAGGAGGCGCCAAAATAATTTAAATAATGGAATTATTCAAATCCATTGGTTCCTCTGGAAACCCAACCATTTAAATAATTTAAATAATGTAAATAATTTAAATATTCAAATACCTGTTTTGAATTAATTTAATTCTGGTGCCTCCCATCAAAAGGGAATTAGGGAGAGACAAGGGGGAGATGATATATAGAGCTTTGCGCTCTATATTTTGTCACTCCGTCTCCTTGCTTCCTGTCTCTTATCTTCTTTCCAGTACCCTTCCAGAAAAATGGCATCCTTGTTCTCTCTCCTCTCTCACTTCCCTTTCCCTTCTCTCTTTCTGTTACTATTTGACCTGATAAACAACAAGAAAGGAACTTGCAGGATAAAACAGTGGCAGGGTAAGCAGAGGTTGCGCGTGGACCTTGCCGTACTTCATCATATCCCTCTTCTCGACCTATCTCTTCTGCTTTCCTTACTCTTTAGTTGTTCTTATTTCGAAAAGAAAGAGGGAAGGGAGAGATAAGGGAGGGAGGATAGATAAAGAAGAGTGCCATCTTCTCTGCGCCTTGTTTTGTCTCTCCCTCTTCTCTATTCATCTCTCTTCTATTCTTTTGCTGTTCCATTGAAATTTGGCAGCGACGGTGGCCTTCTTGGTGCTTCACCACTCCCATCTGTAGCAGACGCAGGGAGACTTGACGGCCTTTGTTGTCTTAGCCGCACTTCATCCTGCGCTCTTTCACTCCAGAGAGGATTCACAGCCTGCATCGGAACCATTTCTCCACCCGTTTGAGATTGACTTTCGGGCGGCGCCCTTCCAACTTCTCTTCCATCCAGTAGTGCTTGTACAGCGGGCTCTTGTCGCACTCTATCTCCCCCGTCACCTGCAGTTTCTTCCGCATCGGCATCATTGGCCGCTTGTGACAGTCCAGGCTCAGAACGACGGCGCCGCATATCCATGGCCATAAACAACGACAGAGTTTTTACTTAACCCACAGGGAGCCTAATTTGGGCTCATAACCTACGGGGGCAACCGAAGAAAAACGGGGAACCCAACCAATCAACCCCAACAGAAGCCTGGAATTTTCCCCTGGACCAACCAAAAACCAAACCAAAACACAGTCCTCTTTTTGACAGGCGCCTGGCCCGATCCTTGAGCCAAATGTTTACGGGTACATTGACCCTTGAAACCTCCTTTGAAATACACACACCATCTCCGCATAGGGTTTAGGGTTTAGGGTTTAAATTTTAGGGTTCTGAAGATACAGGCAGACTATCCAGAACACGACCACCAACCCAATCAAACCCAAAGACGCTGCCGATGTAGCTTTTTGACCTCTCAACTGGACAACATTCTCAGCCCCCAAACGTACCCACCCTCTCCGCTCTGAAACCACAAGAGCTTCTTCGAACGAACGCGTGCCCTGAGTGTAAGATTCTCTGTGAACAGGCTGAGGGCCTGACCTGAAGCCCAAACCACCAACCCAGCAAGCCCCCGCCTGGGGAACACTGCTCCACAATGTGGTAAAAATCCTTGCGCGCCCCGTAAACCCTAGACCCTAGACCCTAAACCCGAAACCCTAAACCCTAGACCCTAAACCTAAACAGAACGCGCCTGTCTCAGAGGACCGCGAGGAGGTTACCAGCAGGGCCTTCACGATTGGTCTCCACTTGGACTGCAGTGTGGCCCGCCTGGTTCATTCGGATTATCGATGTAGGCTTGTTAGCCCAGAGGTACCCTTTACCCCCCTTTTTTGGGTTATGGGTTTGTCTCAAGAGCTGAGAACCTTAAAGCGTGCGGCGGGTTGGTGGGGATCTGCAATGAACTAAACACCAAAATGAGTATCAATGTTCAATTGCGACACTAGTTCCCTAAACCCTGAACCCTAAAACCTTGTTTTTTTGCTTTCGCTTTCGACATACAAGCAGGGGAGGTCCCTGTGGCTGTCCCTGGCCCTGGGGTCTACTCGGGGGTGGTTTTGTTTTTGGACGTTCGGGCAGCAGATTCCGTTCCATTGGCGTTCGGGATGTTTAGACCGAGGACCTTAAGGAGGTTTTGGGCTTACTGAACCCTCAACTTGGGATGTTCCCCCGAGGGAACACCCCAACCCTAAACCCTAAACGCTAAACCAAGAGTTGGGGTGTTCGGGAAGCGGGTCGAGGAGTCCGAGTTTGAGGAAATCACGGTGGAGCCCGTGAATTCGGAGGAGAAATTCCGGCTGAGGCTCGTTCTTCATAGTGAACACGGTTTAGGGTTTAGGGTTTAGGGTTTGCTGTGATAGGGCGTAGATGCTGTGAAGGTTAGGTTTCGGACCAAGCTCGAAGCTTCGTGAGGTGCGAAGAGCAGCTTTGGCCCGATTGTGGAGGGCCATCTAACACTGTTCTCCCACCCCACGCCGTCCAAGGCGGCAAAGCCACCCAAACCTATTCCTTTTAGGGTTTATGCCTAGACTCAGACAACAGCCCACTTCTTTAAAATTCAGTTCTCGAAGTGCCGGGTCGGGGCAGGCCCTGGGGCTGGGGGGCAGGGGGGCAGGGGGGTCACGGGGCCAAGGAAACAGGGGGGCCAGGGGGCCCTGAAAGGCGGTTTGGGCAACTGATTTTTGTTCTTCAGGGTCAAGGGCTGGGGGACCAGCACGGGTCCAGCAAAACACGGGCCATGGTGGGCGCTACCGACCCCCATGCTGTGGGAGGCGGGCGAGCGACCTGGCTCCGCCTTTCAAGGGTATCTGCCTCAGACTAGCAGTTTTGAACCAAGAAGTCCCATCCGGAATAGCAATTTCAAAAAGTGCCTCAACAGGGTACCTCTATTTTGAGAAACCCAACTCATAAGGAAGCATAGAAAAAGGTGCTACGCTGCTGGATGCCCGGATGCCCGATGTTCTTTCAAAAGCAGTTCCAAACCAAAGGCTGGCACAGGCAGCAGAGCAGCGGAAGCTCTGATAGCCCCAAACTCCAAACCTGAAGCACAAAACTCTGATGAAACCTTGGGCTTTGAGGGCCCTGAACCCTAAACCCCAAACCCTGAACCCAACAACTTAGAGCAGATCCGTGACAGGAACAGCCCACGCACGTTCCCTGGCGAGTTCCGCTGGAAGAACGACGAGAAGTCGGGGACCCAGAAGGGAGTTCCGGGTGTAGGGTTTAGGGTTCAGAGTTTAGAGTTTAGGGTTTGGGGTTTAGCGTTTAGGGTGTAGGGTTCAGAGTTTAGGGTGTAGGGTTCAGGGTTTAGGGTTTAGGGTTCAGAGTTGAGCCTAAGGGCTGGACGAGGTGTGCCTCTGCATGTTTACTGTGTGTGTGTGTGCCCGCGCGTTTGGGCGGGATGGGTTCATCCTACAGACAGGGCTTCGAGAGCCCGATACGCAGGACTAAGCTTGAAGGGACACCATTTCTGCGTGATGAAGGTCCCCAAACTGACGCCATGAAGGCATATGCAGCAAGAGTCTACCATGAAACCGACACGTGCAGCGAACAGCTTTCCTCCGACACGTGCATTGCGGGCGTCCGTGGATGGCAGCTGTTGCTCCACGGGGGGGGGGGGGGGAAGCCCATGAAAGCCCAGAATCGATCTGGACAGACGGAACCTCGAAAGACGCGCGCTCCTGTCAATCTCACAAAGACCCAGACGTGAAGTCCTTAGCCCCCAAACCCCAAACCCTAAACCTTAAACCCATTTAAACCCTAAACCCTAAAAACCCTTCGCCAGTCAACCTGGGGTTCAGGGGGTTTAGCGGGTTTGGGTTGAGGGGGTTGAAGCTCAAGAAGGTTTTGGGGGGTTTAAACCTCCACACTCGAAACCCCCCCCAGTGCCAGGAAGATTCAGAACGTGGCCACCGGCAAATGCCTCGAAGCCAAAACGCTCGGCCGCGTGGAGGAGGTTGGATGGACAGTCGTTTAGGTTTAGGATTTCGGGTGTTGGGGAATGAACACTAGCACATCCTCCCATGGGTCCACAATTCGATGTTGGTGCTGGTGTGTTGTGTCTTCGGCTGGTTGTTTGTTTGCTTGGTTGTTTCTGTGCTGCTTCTTTCTTGCAACCTGCTCTGCTTCCCCAGCCTTCTTCACTTAAAACAGCCCTCACCTTTAGGATCGAGAACAACACGGCATGTTAAGCTGCCAAAGCTTGACTTCTACATTCAAGTTCAGTTCTTGAATCTACGAGCCCCCAGCACACAAACCCGAAATGGATGAGGCCTGAAATTGACGGCCCCATGGTATATTAATATGTCCTTTAAATATGGAAGCTGCGCGTAGCCATGAAGATAGTTCCGCCAATCCTCGAGAGGTTGGGGCCTTCAGGTCCAGTTCAACCAGAACGAAACAGGTAGGTTGGGATGTTCCCCCTTCTAGCAACAGTGCTTAATGGTGATTATAGTACCCAAAGAGTTCCTATTCAGGACTGCAAGTAGAAGGGGGAACATCCCAGCACGTAGGTTCCTAACCGCACGACTCTGGCCCTGTGGACCTCAGCTCCCCAACCCTGAACCCAGAAAACCTACATAGAGGTTTCCGAACTTAGGGGGTGCCTGACTGGGGTCCTTACTAAAAATCCTTCTAAACTATACGGGGGTCTATACTAAGGGCCCCTGATTGTCTTCCCTCCCACATAAGCCCTTCGAATTCTAGACCCTAGACCCGTACAATCCCCATTAAGGACTGTTAGTATAAGGAGGAACATCCCAACCTAGAAACATCTCCGAGCCCTTGGTTCCTTGACATCACCCGTCGCACCTGCCAGGCAGACTGCAGCGAAAGCACTTCGGCCTAGCGGTCAAAGGGCTGAGGGTACGATAACCCTAAACGCCTAAACCCTAAGCCCTAAACCCGATACCCCAAACCCTAACCCTAAACCCCAAACCCCAAGCCCCAACCCCAAATTTCGACTCAAACCTGAATGCCGAAATCCGAAGGGCTTGAGGTACGAGAGTCGGTTTTGCGGCTGCCTGTCGTCCATGTAGGTGTTTCCGAAAATGAGCGGCACCATTTAGAGCCAGATTCTAGGCGGGCGTAGGGTGGCCCTACACGACCCTACTAGGGCCGTAAGGGGAGCCCGAATTGGGGGGGAAACTCCAGTAGCTTTGTAAATCGTTGTCGTTGGGGCTCTTCATGTGAGGAAGCAACAGGCGCGTTCGTGGTCCGAAGCCCTGCAAGCTTCTAAGCCCACACATCCCTTTGCATCCCTTTGCAGTCCCGAGGCAACCCTCAACCCTAGCCCTGAACCTAAATCCCAAACCCTAAACCCTAAACCCTAAACCCGAAACCCTAAACCCCAAACCCTAAACCCTAAACCCTAAACCCTAAACCCCAAACCCTAAACCCTAAGCCCGAGGCATGGAGCAAGAGTGGACCATATCCCATGGACTCCAGGGCCTGGTCGATGCCCCGATCATGTGCCCTGGGGATCAGGTCGCCCAACTGACACCAGCTGAGGGTTTCGGGATTTAGGGTTTCGGGTTTAGGGTTTCGGGTTTAGGGTTTCGGGTTTAGGGTTAAGGGTTTAGGGTTTCGGGTTTCGGGTTTAAGGTTTAGGGTTAGGGTGTAGAAGGGAAGCTCGCTGGTGCTAAAAGCACCCGGGCCGCTCGCTCGCATTAGCATGTAGCCCCACCCCAACCACCCAAATTATTCTCATTGAGGGTTTAGGGTTCACACCCCAAACCCCCCCTCAAGCTCGGAAGGTCCAGGTACTGGCGGGGGGGTTTATCTCACATAATACACATCGATCGGCGTCCACACTGGGGTCTTGCAGGTCCCGCACAGGACCCGGCACTGATCCTAGCCGTCCAGTTTTCAGCCAATGCAGCGTCCACAATGGGGTCTGGCATGCAAACCACCCCATGGCCATGGTCGGAGGAAGCGCCTGCATAAAATCTCCACATTGGGTTTGCATTTTGGACAAGACTCGGCACTGATCCAAGCTGCCACCACGGCTTCAAGTTTGTTATAGTTTGTATAAGGCAGTTGGCAGGACATTTCCGTGCTAGCTCGTTTAATGCACTTTTTCTATATCAAAACCGGTCTCGGTCGCAGGGTTTGGTCCGCCAGACACATGCAGCAGGCAGCAGGCAGGCAGTGTGCACCCTGAACCCTAAACCTTTAGGTTTTCCAACTGTTCGGTCCGAAGTTCCTACACCCTGAACCCAAGGCAATCCAAGTGGGGTCTGCTCGTGTTAATTGGCACACTCTTGAGATCTGCTAGGTAGGCCCTTGGGACATTTTTTGTTTTCCCTTATTGGTTTTAAGAGGATAACATGTAGGAATATTTTTCAGAGAGTCTAAAGTGCCATCCAAGTCCTCGAGAAGCCCTGGTCCCCGTGTTGCCCTGCGTGCGGGGGCCTATGTCAGAAAGGGGTTCGGGTTCAGGCGGTTTAGGGTTTTGGCACGTGTTTCTTGATCTTACCCCTCGGCCCTTTGGCGATGATTGAGGTCATCAGCTCTATGACAAAGACGAGCTCCGAGATCAGGTATAACTGCAGCCACGTCTCTTCCCTTGGATGCTCGTGCTATCAGGTTGCCTTCGAGGTGTTGAGGTCTAGGACCGTTCCGGGTATTCAGAGGCTTGGGGCGACACTTCGAATCACTTCGCTTGTCCCCCACCGCGCGAGCTTGTTGGAGTTTGACTCAGATCTCCTCAACCCCCCTGTGCTCTTCACTCAGGTGTTGCCCAAAGAATCCAAAACCATCCTGCAGAATCCCGCAAACTATCCCTGTCCGCCCCCTGAAATTCCTGCAGAATCACCCTGACAATCCTCCAGAGAATTTCGCAGTGGACTCCACAGTGCTCACCCTCGAGAATGTCACAGAGACTGCCGTTGAGTGTCCCTGTAACCTGCAGAGCATCCCGCTAAGTATCCCTGGTGATGTCCCAATACACCACCTCACAGTATCCCAATCGTGTGTCACTGTTTCCCTTGATGGCTTCATATAGAAAAGGCTAGCCAGCTGGCCGCACTTGCAACACAAGGGTGGACGTGGCCTGAGATGTCGAAACAGCTCAACCTCTTTTTGGTGTTCTGAGTGCGACAACCAAGTTTCAAGTGGCAGCCTTATCTCCGAAAAGCTGGTAGCTAGCACCATGAGATAATGTAAATCCGGACATTCTGGTTATGTTTTCTTGAGGTTCCTTTGCATTTGAAAGTGGCGCCCTGGTGCCATTTCAGGAGCGTGCAGGGATATCTACTCCACGCAGGTAGAGACGGTCTCACCCGAGCTTGAGACGATCAAGGCAGCATGTTAGCACACCACAGGAGCTTGAATCAATACGCCTCTATACAGAAGTTCTTCTCGCTCCGAGAGTGGGGATGGAAGCCGGGTCTTTGCGGACTTTTGTTGATCACACCGTTCAGCTGTTGGGCGCAAGAGCCGCTAGAGCGTGGCGAAACCCTTTCGCGTAACATGCGCTCGCATTCACTATTTAATTTGCATTCCTCCATGTGAATGGTGCTTTGTTGTTGTCAGAGGGAGTGTGGACATTCAGTCGCTTCGGACCATGCAGAGCACAGTATAAGAACGCATGAACCCGTATCTAGCAAGACGCCCCAGACATGAGAAACTCGAAACTTATTGCAGAAACAAGCCCCCCTGCCTTCCAGTCTCCAACTCCAGGCCGAACTGGACTACAACAAACCTCAGAACCGCACACAACTTCTGTCACAGGCGCTGAGGATGCTTGGGGCAACCTGTCCTCCAAGCGAAGGTCTGATGCTGTGCTTGCAGTTTGCCTGTGTTCCTGCTGGGATTTCATTGCGTCAGGCGCCGTACGCTTCTGCATGTAAGATGTTGTTGGACAGTGCGTGCTGCAACGACTCTAGCTCTTGGAGCTGTTACTCACGTCCTGAACCCTGCATCTGGAATGATGCTCTACACGCCGGACCCTGAACTCATGTTGCACTACAGCTGAGGAAGAGCTTGGAGTTCGAGGCCTCAGACAAAGGCAGCAAAGCGTTATTGCATCTGGGGATATCTAGGGTGCGGGGCGTAGGAGTCTCTTCGCCTTCAACACTGTCTTGCAGCAGTTTGGCTTTTGGCAGGAGATAGTGGCACCTGGGCGTACTTCCTAGTACGCACCCTTACTTGCCATTAGGCCACACTGACACGGCTGCGTGCTTGGAGCATTTTCTTACTTTCGGAGGCAAATGGATTCGCTTCAAGTACGTGCCTTGGAAGGATTCAGCCGACGAAGCTGTGAGCAAGGGTTTTGGGGGAGCGCCGAGGGGTACAGAAGTGTGCAATGTAAGTGTTGGGTTTTGGGTTTAGGTTTTAGGGCTTAGGGTTTAGGGTTTAGGGTTTAGGGTTTAGGGTTTTGGGTTTTGGGTTTTGGGTTTTGGGTTTAGGGAAAGCATGTCAAGGCCTGCTGTCAGATCAGCCGCATACCAGTGTCCATCTACCCTCCGGTGAGCAAGAACAAGCGGTTCTTTGAAGAGGACATGGCCCAGGATTGGGAAGGCTGGGATGCCATGCTCGGCTTTAAGCTATGGAATTCGTCAGCATCCATCCCATGAATCAGCCAGGGTTACAGGAGTTTCGGAAGAAAGTTCTAAGTAGGATTTCAGTTGCTTTGCCTTTGACAGGAACTTTTAAGAAAAACATTAACGTAACCACCACCGCATTAGACTGTTTTGCTTTTATCGTTTAAGCAACCCCCCCCCCCTTTTTGGGGTGTAAGGAGGGAAGAGGGAGGGTTCACCTCAAACCCATCCAACACGCCGCTAGGGTTGGCGGACCCTAAACCCTAAACCCTAAACCCTAAACCCTAAACCCTAAACATCCCTTCAGGTGTGTACTGCCCAAACGCACCGGACGACAGCGGTCGGATGACCTTCTTGCAGACAAGGACGCCGAGGTTTAGGGCTTCGGGAGAGGGGGGTTGCAAAGGTTCAG